ACCGATCTTCAACACTCAACAGTCAACAGTGCAATGTCAGATAAATTTGTAAGTAACTCTGAGAGACAATTATAATATAAGTAAGGACTAAGGAGTAGCATAGTAACCTATCTCCTATTATTACCTAGAAAGTCTTATTTGAAAATTCAAAAGCACAAGTTCCGAGGGGCATTCATGTTTTTTTTTATCAAACTTTTTCTACATGATAATGAGACAAATGTTACTACTTCTTACTTATCAGATAAAATTATTCAAACAGTACAACCTCAAAAATAGGATTAATCCCACCTGTGAAATATCCAGCATCAGCAGGGACTCCATGGGCCACTAGGAGGCCATGACCTTGCATGAGTGGCTCAGGCCTCAGAATCAGATATGATCTTGAGTTGAGACTCATTGAAAGTAGTTAATGTTGATGTAGGTATACAATATACATTCTCCAAACGGCACCGTAGTTTAGCAGTGCCAACTGGCTGCCAGCTAGATAGAGCCCATCCGTCACTTACCATTTATGTTGGCTCAACGTGGAGATTAAAATGAAGGAATATAAAAAATATTGTTAGTCTACAATTTTAGATTGAAAATGACGTCATTGAATATTAATCGATATCAGGAGCACCGGGGCACTGACCAAGTGGCTCTTTTGGTAAAAATAAATTGCCATTGGTGCAATTCGGGCAACGTCATCCGGCCAAGTTGTCACGAGATTCAGACGTGAAAGTTATTAACTGCGCCATTAATGTAGTTTTCTTAAAACATACTATGACTTTCACATTCTATTCTCGAATTCATGACGTCACTCATAGTACATATTTAAGGCGAATGGAGATCGCTGAGGAAATATTTCAAAGCCGCTCCTTTACATTATTCTGAAGATTCTATGATGTCATAAGACAAGTTTCTTTTTAAACTTCTATTTCATGGAAAATGTGCATTTTGTGGTTTATTGGCAGTTGAGCATCGCAATTTTGCGGTTTATAGGTGAGTTTATTTATATTATAGCACAGCCTATAGGTAGTTTATAGGCTATAGGTAGTTTGGGCGTATTTGACTCTATAGACGCCCAAACTCTTATGCTGTTGATTGATTATTGGGACCAAATTGGGACTGGGAGAAGGGGAGGCAGCCGCAGGTGTCAATTCTGACTTCTGACATGTAAAATGTAGGTACACCGTACCTAGGTAGTGTAGCAGGTACTTGGTTTGGTAAGACTAAGTACCTACCAACTGCCAAATGCTTTTGGCTCATTAGGCGCCTGTGCCTGAGCCTCTGAGGCTCTTGTAAGTCTGAAATATGGAGTTAAGTGATGGCTAAAGCTGAGGGGGTGATCTAGCATTGATTATTAGGGTGTTGATGGTGACTTGTAAACGACTCAAATTTTTTTGAGTCGATTCTTTGTTTGAGTCTGAAAATTTGAATCGATTCATCAAATGACTCATGATGCTAAATTTAATCGATTCGAATCAACTCATGACTCATCAAGTTCCTCGATGAAGTGATTCGAATCAACTCACGACTCATCGAAAAACGGTTTGATTCTGAGTCGATTCACGAATCAACTCAGAGTCGTTTACAAGTCTGCTCACCAGCCACTTTTTTAATCGCCCGCCCACACGTAAACAGGATATACCGGGTAGCGCGGCCGTTTGATGGCACACTGCATCGCTGACCGCTCACTTCGTCACTTTGTCACGGTCGCCGTGACGCGTCACCGGCTGTGCAGTGACGCACGCAGCTCCAGGGAGTGTCACTGCGAGTGACCCAGAGTGTCACCGGTGCCTTTCAGTGACACGGGGAGTGCTTATCATGTGTGGTGCCAACGCGCTAATGGTGGCCTGGATGGACCGTCAGCTGAGGTGGCTGGTTGAGGTCTAACAGAGTCATGGATAAGTGGTGACGGTGCCATGGGTCATGGATCGCGAGAAGATATGAGGTAGTGATCTCACTGGTCACTGGTAAAAGAAATTGAAGACGTGGCTCAGAACCGTTGAATGTGAAAGGAAGACCGTCAAAGCCAACTGCTAATTACATCGCCTCTTCAAAAAATCTGAGGCATTATTTTGGACTATTGCGCCATAGCGCTGATCAATAACCGGCGCGTACTCGCTCCCCTTTTCATGGCCGCGCTGTCACTGTCCCGTGCAGATGACGTGACGCGTGCCGTCACGGCCGTCACGCCGCACCGCGTCACGGCCGTGACGGCGCCGGCCGGCCGGGCGGGCGTCACTCCGTGAGGAGCGGATGAGAGCGGCGGCGGCGAGCTGACGGGTCTGAAGTGAGCCGCACCGCCATCAGGCGTCTCTCCGCGACTGATAGATGCGCCGCGTGCTGACAGCTCGGGTGGCTGCGTGACGCCCTAGTTAGCCGGTGGGCTGGGCCGCTGGGGTGTGGATAAAATGCAGCAGATAGCTGGGCGGGCCGGGTGGCGGGTGACTATGAACAGAACCAGAGGCTTGTCCTTGGTCAGCTGATACCTGCATGATACCCAGAGTAGCGAGAGATGAGCGTTGGCAGCTGAAGGATACGGACTTTAGAGATGAGTGTGAGGCGATGGCAGATCACTTACAAGTGAAAGGTCAGTCAGACGTTAGGTTTAGAGACCGTCGGAGAGTAATCTTTAAATTCGGGAATTCGATAGTCACGTTTGTTCTTTTACATTCAGGATCCCTCACTGTTGGATGCGGTGGTGTGGATGTATGTAAATGTACCTACTTTTCTCTTCTTGCCTAGCCTTTTTTCTTCCAGTTTCGGCAGCTCTGGCATCCTATTGCAGCTACCCGAGCATTGTTTTACCCAGGGACATGCCGTACCGCTATGCAGCTATGCATCGCGGGCCTGTCTACCCAACAGGCATTTTCAACATTGAACTGTAACCTTCATCTTCCTCATATTATCCAAAACATACGGAACTCTAAAACAACCCCGTTTAGCTAGACCGCAGACCATATTTCCTACTCGGCCCGCAGATTTCACGGTGGCTGAAAAAAAACACCAAACAACCAGTTAGCGGCTTCTGCAGCATGCATGTATCAGAGTGTAAAATTCTGCTGACCTTTGACCCGCGGGTCGGGTGGAGATACTCGTCACCCGTTACTCATCATTGCCGTCCCCCGGGTTACACCCGTTGGTAGGCTTGTTCAGAGGTCTGACCGTCCTCCGGGCGGTGGTCGGTGGGTGATGACGGGACGGTGGGAGGGGATTGGGCGGTGGTCGGCGGCGGCGGTGGCGACGGCCCGACCTTGATGTGGTCGCGGTCTCTCGTCGGTCGCGCCGGCCCATGTCGCCCGCTGCAGCACGGCTCCGGCCGTGCGGCTGCAGCCGCCGCCGGCAGGCTGTGCTATCTGTCCACGCTGCATCCCCCCTCCCCCTGTGACGTGTGACGTCACTGTCGTCAGTGGCGGAAACCCCCCTCCCCTCCCCTTCTGCCCCGATATCCTCACAGCGTGTCCTGTAATGTCGAAGGAGACGGCGTGGCTAGCGCAGCTTCTCGACAGCGTGGCGGGGGTAGTTCCCCTTTTCCTTATCGTGATTGAAGATTGAAGAAGGCAAGATCAAATTGTTACGTTTTTGCATCCTTAGGTATTTCGTTTGCTTAGGAAATGTTTTATCGGGTAGATGCTGACGAAATGCTTTGTACCTTTTGTTGGAAATCTAGCATGAAAAGCGGTTGATGAAAGTCAATTTAGCCAGCAGTGAATTACTGTGTTACGTGGCCTTCAAGGAAACGCATGCATACAAATGGTCTCGCCACTGTTCCTGTTAGCTCAATGATCGTCCCAAGCAAGCTATGACAATGCAGAACAGACGACGGCTCCTCTCCGGGGCGCTTTAGTGGAACGTTTAACGTTGAACGCCCGTGAATGGTTTGACAGTCGACAGGTGACACCCTGGTCATAAACAGTCGTGCGAAGATGACCGTGGCTTCGAACGAAGCTCCTCTAAGCCCCTGCGTGCAACAGTCATTGTTGATCCAGCTCAACCTGGCTCCCAGTCATGGACGACTCGCCGCCACTCATCCCACATGATGACGATCTATGGCAATAGCGGCCATGGTTTCCGTCTCCTGTCCGGAAGCCGCGCCTATAAAACTGACGTCCTCTGCTACCGACCGCCGGACGGCCGCGCCGGGCTGGTCGGTTGTCGTGACAGTGACTGTCCCGTGGTAGACTGGTTTAGTCGGACGTTAGGGCCGGCTGCGTGACCGGTTGATACGTAGCACTAGTGCGCGGCTCCGTACTGGCCGATAGCATCTGGACAGGTTGTGAACGAAGGGACGGGTTCTGCTACATAAATTACGTAGATTGAGACGCGGTATGTGAGGCGTGCTTTGGTGATGGAAATATCGGCATTCCACAATCCACATGCAATTCGGCGCAGGAACGACTGGTGTTCGAACCCTACGTCGTACACAGTTTTGGTTAGTGGTAAATGTCATGCATCATTCAGATGTGTTACCTAGACCCATGTTGCCACGAAATGAAAACGAAAACGAAAACGAAGAGAAGCGAAAACACAAGCACCGCTTTTAAACGAAGGCCTTATAAACATTTAACACTGTTGCATGGTTTGTTTTCGCAATGGGAATATATGATCTCGAGGCGGATTTGTACTTCCTTTGGGTGCCGCCCGTGAGTTATGTTTGCTGTGTACTCGTATAATACGACAATACGGCAGTCGGCAACCGTTGCACCCAATCAATGTGCCGAGTTCGTTTACTTTGGTCTCACTGGGTAATTGCCCACCGCATACCAATGTTTCCGGTTGGAATGACCTGTTGGAACGACCTATTCCGTTTTTTTTTTTCGATGCCATGAGGTGCCGATTGTAGAACATCACTCGATTCTCCTTAGACAAGCGGAGACAAAGCTTTCGAATGTGCTCCTTACTCGAGGAGATGCTTCAGTCTGTTCCCTAAAAATCACAGAAAAAAATGATTGACCTTGACTGACTTGACTGACTTGACTGGTGGGATACTGACCGCCATCGTGTCTGTATTTCAGCGTTACATGTGTAGCTCGTATCAGCTGAACGCCGAATCGGACGGCGTGGATCTGAACGAGTTCGCCTACAAGCACCCGTTCGCCAGTGCCGCCGAGAAGGTGACCTTTTCATGGATCATCGGCCTGCTGCGCCTCGGCAACCGTTGGCCCATAGAGTTCCACAACCTTGGCAGGTCAGTCGCAGTGGCGGCGAGTGAGGGAGAGGGAGGAGGGGGGGGGGGGGGGCGAGAGGGGCGAGGAAGTATGGCGATCCGTAGAGACAGTCCGTATCTGGTTATCCTCCATCAATCGAATTTCGTCTTTCATTTACTTTTTTCTGGTTGAATGTTTGTCATCGGTGAAAATGATGATTGTTTTGTACTGGCTCGTCTAGTAGGAATTAGTGTAGTTCTACGTAGGTACGAGCATCTGGTGCTACTGCTGGTGCACTGTCTTTAATTTGCCATTGTTTGGAAGACTATATACATATAGCTGACCGCATGTTTTCTGTTCATAGTTTGCCGCCGGGAGAGGGAACGCTCCCTCATTATGAAAGATTTAGCAAGCATCTCAACAGGGAAAAGGCAAGTATTTGCTTGGAAACATGTACATAGCAATAAGCATGCACCGGTTCCCATATTCAATCGTATTTTGCTAAAGGTCGCTGTTGCACTTGCCTCGTTTCTCTAACTGTAAGAACAATATTTCGTCTCAAACAATGCAAGAATCAAGATCCATTGCAAGTGATTATGCCGCTGTTAATCACCCATTATGTAGCTCTCACGGACGTTTTGCCCACAGCACCTCCTATCCCTGCTCCATGTGACTGCTCTGACCGTGCTGGTCCTCTGGCGCCGGGCAGGGTCTGTCGGGCGCCGGTCGGCAGCTGAGCCTCTGGCGGGTGGTGTGGCGCACCCACCGCAGCCGGCTGCTACTCGGTGGCTTCCTCAAACTGTGCGGCGACATGGTGGGATTCGTGGCACCGCTGGCACTGCGCAACATCGTCGAGTTCGTGATGCGCCATCGGGCCGGCACGCTGCCTACCGATTTTCTCGAACGGGACGGGGTGAGTATGGGTGTCCGGGCGGCCCGGCGGCGGTGGCTCATGACTGGTGTTTGTGCGGTGCTGTCACCACCCCCTGCCCGGCCCTGGGCGGTGCTGCACGGTACATAGCCGTACCGAGCGGAGGTGTCGCCGCGCCCCGCCGCCGCCGCCGCCGCCGCCGCCGGCTCCTCTCTGCTGCTAGCCGCGGCCGGTGAGGTGTGGTTGCAGCGTGTGAGGACCGGACTGGGCAGAAGGGAGGGGAGGTGACGGGTCACACGGAGACGGAGGTGAAGGGTGGGGCCTGGTCTGTCTGTATGAGCGGCAACCGGCCGACGGTGTCGACAGACGGTAAACCGACGGACAGACGGACAGACGCAGTGCAGACACACGGGCAGACGGACACGCAGACATATGGGAATACACAATGGAGCCGTGAAGGCTGCACATGAGTGCAGCTGGACGAACGGACAGAGAAAGAGACGAATACAAATCACACTGAACACTCGTGTTGCGTCTCTTTTTTTCTCTATCTCTGTCTCCGTCTCCGTCTGTCTCTCCTCTCTCTCTCTCTCTCTCTTTCTCTCTCTCTCTCTCTCTCTCTCTCTCTCTCTCTCTCTCTCTCTCTCTCTCTCTCTCTCTCTCTCTCTCTCTCTCTCTCTCCTTCTCCCTTTCCCTCTCCTTCTCCTCTCCCTCTCCCTCTCCCTGTCCCTCCACTCCCCCACTCTCTCACCTCTCTCTCATCTCTCTCTCTCTCTCTCTCTCTCTCTCTCTCTCTCTCTCTCTCTCTCTCTCTCTCTCTCTCTCTCTCTCTTTCTCTCTCTTTCTCTCTCTTTCTCTCTCTCTCTCTCTCTCTCTCTCTCTCTCTTTCTCTCTCTCCCCGACCCAGCATGCGCTGAGAGCTAAGTGCAGAAGTCATTGTTTCAGGTTTGCAAACCAGCTTAGGTTTGTTCTGTAATGCTGACATTCAAGCTGTGGATTTGCCTGAAGGTTATATTAATATTTATACTATTAACGAATGCCTCTTTTCGCTCCACGCTTTATCCGGTATAAGAGACAAGCTACGCTTAAGATCATGTTATCGATGAGGGGAGGGACGGCCTCTATCAACGTAGCTTCCCATGGGGTTGGGTATGCCAGAGTAAACAGTTTAGTGTAGACTTATCGTGCGAAGGAGGGGCGGCAAAAATCTGGGTTTATTTACACCTGTCGTCGGTTGCTAGGCGACTCTGGTTTGCCGATCACTTCCCTGTCCAGTGGTAGCGCTAGATCGCAGCTTCTTTCCCGTATAACAGGTTAGCTCGCACCTCGAGAAAATAATTGTCACTATGCCATCCAGCACGGCATCCAGTCTTGATGCTCAGCTTGTCACGAGGACACAGCTGATTGTTGACCTACCAGCGGCCTCTCTAGCAGCTCGTCAGGTCATCTCACTCAGAATCTGACGGCCGTCCTCCCCACCGACTATGTCCGCAGTACCTGTACCCGACCGTGCAGCAGTTCCTGGCCAACGGCTTCGTCATGTCGGTGGTGGCCCTGGTAGCGGCGCTGGCGCAGGGCACCTTCTCTCAGTGCTGTACACACGTCATGGTGACGGAGGGAGTCCGACTCCGCAGCGAGATCCAGGTGAGTAACGAGCGGGCGGTGATTCTTGGTGGAGAGCTAGCTCATAGCTGGGTGACCCGGTGGACAGCGGGGCGAGGTGCGGTAGTAGCCAGGCGGGTGGGTAGGCAGTCGTCCAGTTGTTCAGGCTGGATGATAGAACCTCTTCTCACAGTGAAATTGTGGCCCAGTTTTGATGTTGGGTTGTACTGTTCGGCTTGAGTTTGATGGTCATGAACCCTGTGTGATTTGTTGTTGGTTCAAGCTGCTAAGCACCGTGGCGAAGCGCGATGCAGATAAGCGTTTTTTTTTTTTTGTAGCGTTCAGCAGGTTTTTCGCAGGTCGTGCGGTTTAGTAATTACAAAGTTTCCGGGGGTAGCGGTAGTTTAAACCAAAACCCCATCCTGCCGGACGAGGAGTTATATCTGACGGACGTGGGTGAGAGATACGGACCGGCGTGTCTCCTTCCGGCCACATATCTACATAGTCTCCGCCCCGAGTTCCCGCTGAACCACTCTGACTCACTGAGTCCGTGACTCTGACTCACCGAGTCAGTGACTCTGAGTCATCGGGGGCGGACAGGAACCTCGAGGGAGTGGAGTCGGTGTTCCCCGCAAAAACTGGCCGCACGGCAGCCGCACGGTGGCCTCAGCTATCGACTCGGCGGTCACATCCACCCAGCGCCCCGCTGGGTGGAAAACATGTCACACGTATCCGCTGTCTCGAGTCTCGACCTCTGGGTCTCCTCTGGGTCAACAGGGAAGGGAGGAAAGGCAGGACCGCAACTAACCGCGCAGGATCGCCCTGCCGTCTGCTGTTACCGGCGACTTCCGTCGATAGTGCAATAAACACGGCTGTCCGGTTTCCCCAAACACCCCGGTGTGGCCTCTGTGTCACCCACATCTCCTGCGCCGCCCCAGCGTTCAGTAGTCATCACTCATGGCTCGGCGGCACGGCGGTGTTGTGGCCAACGGCGCGCGTGCTCGTATATTAGTCTGCTGAAGGTTTACGTTGGTCCGTCGACAGCGCGGCTGGACTCGAACCGAGCTGTGTCAAGGCGGTTCGACTTAAGATCGATGAACGATGGGCTGTGGTCAGGCGAAAATGATCTGTTGTGTATCAGTGAGTGTGTGTTTGTCAGAAAGATCCCGATCTTTGAATGATCACATTGTACGACGGATCCCTATCTTCTGCAGTCGCGGTGGTGAAAGGAACTTCTAGCCAGGATATCTCGGGGGGAGCTAATATGTTTCTGTGTGAAAGCTTTGTTGTGTGGATATTCAGGAAGATATGGCAGTTATCTCAGCGGGCTGTACCAGCACCTGCCGATGAATGGCTGCTGTCTGGCTCAGCCGGCAGTGCCGCCGGGCGGGGTGGGGTCACAGGGCCATTGTTTAGATGATGACAGTTTGACGGGCTGGTGTGTCGGGTACTGATGGATGAGGCGGGAGTGGTGGGAAGGAGCGAACGGCACAGAACAGGGTTTGTAAAACACTGTTAGTGGGGCTGATTGTTCGAACGACGTGTTGTCATAATGGGAGAGAAGGGAAGAGCAGGGAGGGGACTCAGAGTGGTAGCGAGAAAGGAAGGAAGAGAGAAAGAGAGTTGAGTGAGGGAGAGGAATAAAGTTGGTAGAATTCACGCGTGCACCTTTTCACGGGACAGAAAAGTAGCTGTTTCGTCCTATTCCACGAAAATCGAATTTCGCTTGGCTATGTAAATGTTCTGTGTTTATAGTCCCTTTTCTGTCCAACATGTCTGAGTTCAGGAAACTACGAAAATTGAAGTGAGTTCCTTTCGAGCAAATACCTCGATAGCCTATGGCTAAGACACCAAACAAGTAAGCCCCAGCTGTAGCTAGCTGATTATCTGCTTCCACCCGCAACTTTGGCGCATCACACTATCCTGCTCTGACCTAGAAAACTCATTGCGTATTATGTAGCTCTTGTCTTCATCTGACTTGTTCTGTGTTAACCTAATGCGTCGTAGTGTCATTATCATTGCGCTGTCACCTAACGCCTTCTGTACTGTTCCAGGCACTGATCTACGAGAAATCGCTGAAGATTCCGTGCATATCCAACGACCGCGGAGCGAGCGACGACTCTCCGGATCCGCTCGGCTCGCCCGGTAAATAAATAAATAAGCCACCCTCGCCGCTGCCACCGCCGCCGTCAGCGCGGTCCCTCCGTAACGTATCAGACCAGCGCCGAGCGCAGTAACCAGAGCGCAGTAAAATCGCAGTAACCCGTCAGATACCCAACGGCGAGCATGAGGCTATCCGGACTGCTCCAGTCAACATAATATCAGAACTCAGAAGCCAGTCGCTCCAGATCAAAGTTGCAGTGGCTGATCTATGTAATAAAGTCATCGAAAATGCCAGATGACTACTAAAGTTTACGCGTCGCAGACCCAAACTGCCTAGCTCAAATCTTGAAGTCTACGTGCCATGGTCGTGGCATCCAGTCGCATTTTCTCACGACGGCCCACTTTCAGCCGTAGGCATGTTAATGAATTGCATGGCTTATGAATTGACGGGATGATTACGTCATTGCTTTATACAATCCGCCAGTCACCAATTAGCATCGATGACAGAACTCTACATTTCCCATATCACTGCTGTCAAGTCCGCCACCGCCCCTAACCGTCCCGTTTTTCGGCTGTCTTCAGATGAGACGGATCAGGGTGATCACGTGGGGAACATCACCAGCCTTCAGACGGACGACGCGGACAACCTCACGGAGCTCATATGTCAGACACACTACGTCTGGGCCATCCCTCTCAAGGTCAGAGAGGTCACCAGGGTCAGAGAGGTCACTGAATTATTGGAATGTTATGCAATTTTTATGGAAGGTTGTGCTTTGATGTGGTTGTGATGGATGTGATATGTAACGGGATCGTGCATGTGTTTTAAGTTACAGAAGTCGCTAGTCAGGGTCGTATTGCACAAGGTCTGGTAGGTCACTGGTGATCATTGTGCTTTACGTAAGAAAAGGCGAGGTATATTTTGTAGGACAACCCAGAGAAGTCACTAGAGAGGTCGTCCTGTACTCGCAATCTTACCAGACGGCAGCTATGGGCTTATGCAATGCAACCTTTGGCTGTGTTTTTGCAATTCGCCTTCGATGTTCATGCTGAATAACAAGGACAGATAGTGGGGGGTTTGGTAGCGCATGTTATCCGGTCAGGATGTGGTGTCCCGATTCAGTCTGTTCCGGTCTCCGGAGGCCTGGGCCGGACCGGGAGAGGGCCGGTGAAACTGACCGACCACTGGGCGATGGCCGCTGGGGTGAGCCGTCACTGTGGTGGATGGATGCGATTTCCGGGACATCGCTGCACAAATTTAGTGAAGACCCCTGCGAAGAGGAACGTACCGCTGTTTTTTCCTCGTCCACGGTCGCCGCATCCGTGAATATTATCCGGTATCAGCCAATTTGATGACCCGTATCTATCTGATCCATGGTATGAAGCGTCACCCACGCGCTGTCATGTGGCCTTCATCCTCGTGTTTGATGAGGCTCTGAGGCTAGATAGGTCGGCCAGCGGAAGCTGACTTTTGGTGCTATCAGAGGCTCACTGTACGTTGCACAATGAATGCCTTAAAATAGTAGCGAGCTCGGCGCCAGATGGGTGGGGAGAGGATCGTACTGCCCGGCTGAAAGTGATATCATGGGTGGTGTAATGTCTGTCCTGCTGGGACGATTAATGAAAGGACGGTGACATTTGGTCCGGGCGAGAAACGAAACAGCCTAGTGTTTGTTTTGTGTGAGCGCCATGATATCATCATCCTGGCTAGTGTTGAAAATAAGCATCATTTGTGACGATGTATGGGGGTAACTCAAATCCCTTATTCCTGGCCGCTCCTCCATATAGTGAGAAATATCGGGCCGGCATTCAACCCACATGCCCAATGTTTTTACCCGATGACCGTGGATCAACTGGCCTATGATACCTACGTTTAGCTGAATACTGACGACTTGTCGACCTCTGCTGGCCCCCGCCGACCTGCCAACACCTGACCTGTGACCGTCTCCCTCCGTCCCCTGTTCCCAGATCGTGATTCTGCTGGTACTCATCTACCAGCAGCTGGGAGTCAGTGCCATCATCGGCGCCCTCGTGTCCATCGTCGTGTTGACGCCGCTGCAGTTCGTGGTCGTCTGGTTTCTGCAGAAGAACAAAAAGGGCCTTCTGGTGCGTGTGACAACAGATAAACTCGACAGTCAGCTATTGGGGCGCTGCTGAGTCGGTTAGCGACAGACTGTACTTGAGTCAGTTGATTATTACTGTCGGTCAACGCTCGGAGATAACTTAGGATAAAGTCCACAACGTTTGATTCTTTTTGCTTCGCCGAGCTTACTTTTTCTCTTCTACTCCGTTTTAGCGCGACGCCACAGTAGGTACGCAGCTCAGTTGCAGAGCTCCCGCTCAGCAGTAAACTGCCTGATCATTGTATGGTATCATCATAAGATGCGACCGCTCTGTATATTTTGTCTGGCGGACTGTTTCACCGATTAAACAACTCTTGTGACGATTGAACCTGACTAATGATTGGTGATTGTCCGGTGCAGCCCACAACGATTAGTCTTCCTTACTACGGGCTCTGGTACCTTTCAATAGCACTTTGAGCCAATGCTGTTATATTGTCGTACAACAGTCAACAATCACATCAACGCCTATTTAATATACCATCGATGACACAAACAGACCATTATCCAGCCTATACATTAAGTGAAAGGCGCCAGCCATCCTGTTTAGATAAAGGCGACGAAGGTCTTTCGCAGTGCAATAGTATTAGCGCTAGCCTAGACTTTTGAATAGTTCTTATTTTTTAAGTGCCGATAAGCATCCATTTCAGGCTTATCCACTTATGGCGTGAACGTTACCAAATGTGTTTTTTTTTTCATTTCAGAAAAAGGGCGACGAGCGTCTGAGCCTGACCGCCGAGTTCGTGGGCGGAATTCGGATGCTCAAGCTGAACGCCATGGAGTTTGTATACAAGGACAAAATCCAGAAGATCAGGAAAGCGGAGCTCAAACTGCTGATGAAGGACTCACTCTTCTGGGCTCTGAACAGTACGTCATGTGGGAGGTCATAGTTTGGTGGAACGGGAGGCGTATATGGTGAGGACATACACGGCCCTGTATGGTGTCATGTATGAATTATGGACGGAATTTCTTATCGGTGACGGTGTTGTATTCCTTTAATACCTCTCTTGTATAGACCAAATCGCATGTTTTCTCTGGCCTGCCGTGGACCGTCTCCCTATTGTACTTCTGCAATCGACTCGTAACCTAATATGACCTGACGTGTGAGCTGATCTCTGATCTGACCTGACCTGTGACCTCCCGTGCCTCCATTCTCTGCCCGGCAGCGTTCCTGACCCAGTCGTCGCTGACCGTGGTAACCGTCACCACTTTCGGCCTGTTCGGCGTGCTCGGCCACGAGCCGCTGGTTTCTGCTCGCGTGTTCAGCGCTCTGGCGCTGTTCAACCAGCTGACCGTGCCGCTGTTCGTACTGCCCATTGTCGTCAAGGCACTCATTGATGCTAAGGTGAGGCGAGGAGGGGATGAGTGTGTATGTGTGTGTGGGGGGGTGGGGGGGTGGGGGGGGGGGGGGGCAGCAGCTGGGGAGACGGATTGTCGTCGAAGCTTATCGATGAAGTTTGTGCTGTGTCGCTGATGAGTTTCGTTAATAGTTTTCTCTCTTATGCGGGGATGTAGAGCAAATGGGCCAGCAGTATACTTAGATGTAGAGATGTCTGAAGCGGTTGCTCGGTTACGGCGGTATTAATTACTAATCGTTGCTTATTTTGAGTCATGCTGACCAAGATGACTCGCAAAATATAGCTTCCTCGCTCATTTGCTCTACAATCACCTGATTTGCCTAGTGTGTACGTACATTTTTTAGTGTTTTCCGGCCCAGCGCACGCACGTTTTGTACACACGGAAACGCACCGAGCACACAGTTGCACGCCGTACGGTCTGAGTCGGCGGCCGGCGCGGTTGATACCTTGCTTGTGTTTAATGTGTGCATTGCTAATTGCATTTTCAGCGCAAACTCTACGCCGATTTGTCTGGAGTCAATTTCAGCGATAGGCTGCAGTGTTGTCGTGACCTAATAGTCGCGGATTTATACAAATCCGCAATTTCCGTCTGTCCGATACAGACCCTCCCCTCGTTCCAGTGGATCCCCCTGTGATTCCCTCCCCCGGGACCCATAGTACATCGTTCCACGGCCGTCTAACGTCTGTCTCCCGGCTGCTGATGTCATGTCAGTGCCATGTAGCGGGCCGGATGCGGCCCCGGCAGCCGGCGACTGGACCGTCAGTCGCTGTTTACCTCTAAGGCGGTTTACGGTTACTGAATGTTGACGGTAGTGCCAGATTGGGCTCCTGTGTTGCCGACGGCCGACAGAATATACCGCAACTGGTTACGGGTGATAAGTGCGAGATATTCTGTAGAAGAGTAACAGTCACGGATGTAATAGCCGCGGATTGCGCAATCAAGCTTAAATTAGCTTTTTCGTGTTTACGCTATGGCATATGGAATATCAACCACCCTCAATATTCCATGTGTTGGTGTTTTCATGATGACTGACGCCTTAGAAATCACGCGTCACATTGCTAGCTTGGCTGGTAATGTCGTGGACAACATCAGACTGGCACGACAAACTCGTCTACCCCGAAGACTAAGCGCTTTCCATTGGAAAGAATCCTCCCCTCCGCCTTCAGGCCCCGATCTTGTCTTCCCTGAACCCTGACACTGTTGAAGGTCTCCAGTGCTCGGCCATCCCCTCTCGTCTCTGTCCTGCTGGGCACTGTCCTTGCCCGTCCCGAGCCTGCCCTGCTGGACACTGTTCTTTCGCACCCTGAGCCCGCCCTGCTGGACACCGTCCCTCTCACCGGCTCTCACTCTGCCGACAGGCGAGTATTCGCCGTCTGACCGACTTCCTGGCCCTGGCTGACGTCGAGGGAATTGACGAGGAGCCGCCGCAGACCGTGGCGCTCGCCTCCAAACTCTCCATCAGGCTCAAAGAACGCGACGCGTCTCGGGTGAGTGATGTGTCTCGTGGAAGGATGGGAATGTGAAACATGCATGGAGTGAATGAGTGTAAGGCATATTTTGATAAGGATGGGCAAATAGGGGGAGCTAAAAGGGGATGGTGAGTGGCAAGTCGCTATCACGGCGTGAATTCCGCGACAGTGAAGGGCATTTGAAAGAAGTAGGGGTCAGAATGCGTCGATAAGTCCTCAAACATTAAAACAATATATCATTGAACAATTGAAACCGCTTTTAAGTAGTATCGGTAAACCAGCCCTGTCACTCTGGTAATGGTTTGCATGTTTGGTTTATCGGTGTTGGATGACTGGCTGAAAAGTCTCAGAGTACGGCAGCGGACTGTTCCAAACATCCCCTGGGAACTCTGAACCACGCAGGGAAACTTGGCTGCGTGTCGGGAAACCCACACGCGGCTGGCGTAAAGCGGTGTTTACACTACGACTTTGTGTACTCCGATGGGTAAACCGTCACTGTGTATCTATGTGGGGTCTCTTCACGAAGTCTGCGTGCCTTAGAGGGGAGAGTCCGGCATTGACAACCACGCAGTATTGGATGTCTCAGCCCAACTATACACGGAGTTGGGAGATGCGCTCATTAATGTGACACCAGCGCTGTGGCGTAGGGCCCATAGTGCGTCAGCAGTGCTCGGTGTAATATTGCATCTTTAATGTTCTGCACAAAGTAATGAGCGGCCGTCAATTCAGGGTGTGACTGCTCTGAGATCGTCACACGTATTATTAAATACGATTAGCCTTCCACTTTGTCTCATTAACATCTTCGATAGCGTAATCACCAGTATAACGCCTTTTGGGGCGACTAACGGAGCGAGCGAGAGGGTGGGCCTTGAACGTGCGAAATTTCGAGGGGGTACCTCCAACTGACTTGTGCACGGCACCTTACTAACCGGTCTCTAGCGATGTGCCAAATTTGAGCACAATCGGCCCAGTCGTTCTCGAGATCTGGAAGCGGCACCCTGCACGTGCGCACGTGCAAAATGGGTCCCAACTGACTTGTGCACGGCACCCTACTAACTGGTCCCTAACCGTGTACCAAATTTGAGCGTCATCGGTCCAGCCGTTCTCGAGATCTGGAAACGACCCCTGCACGTGCGCACGTGCAGCAGCACCCCAACTCTGGCACATGGATATGCAGTGCCTAGTGGGAGCCTACCTACATGCCAACTTTCAGCGCAATCGGCCAAGTAGTTACCGAGATATTGCAACAATTACAAAACTGACACCTCTTCGTTTTGCACGTGGCACGTGCATAAGGGGTCACCCACATGCATCGGGAATAGTCTAATAGTTGGTAGAAGGAATGAAGCTACCCTACAAAAATTACCGCGTGTAAATCGGTCAAGTGGTTGCTGAGATATAAGCCTCGCAAAAGCGTCCGCACGGCCGGCCGGCCGGCCGGCCGGCCGCTCATACTCACCAGTATAGCGCCTTTTGGGGCGACTAACGGAGCGAGCGAGGGGGTGGGTCTTGCACGTGCGAAATTTCGAGGGGGTACCTCCAACTGACTTGTGCACGGCACCCTACTGACTGGTCTCTAGCGATGTGCCAAATTTGGGCACAATCGGCCCAGCCGTTCTCGAGATCTGGAAGCGGCACCCTGCACGTGCGCACGTGCAAAATGGGTCCCAACTGACTTGTGCACGGCACCCTAGTAACCGGTCCCTAACTGTGTACCAAATTTGAGTGCAATCGGTCGAGCCGTTCTCGAGATCTGGAAACGACCCCTGCACGTGCGCACGTGCAGCGGCACCCCAACTCTGGCACATGGATATGCAGTGCCTAGTGGGTGCCTACCTACATGCCAACTTTCAGCGCAATCGGCCAAGTAGTTACCGAGATATTGCAACAATTACAAAAGTGACACCTCTTCGTTTTGCACGTGGCACGTGCATAAGGGGTCACCCACATGCATCGGGAATAGTCCAATACTTGGTAGAAGGAATGAAGCTACCCTACAAAAATTACCGCATGTAAATCGGTCAAGTGGTTGCTGAGATATAAGCCTCGCAAAAGCGTCCGCACGGCCGGCCGGCCGGCCGGCCGCTCATACTCAGAAATTTCCGTTATTCTACGTAAGACTCCGCTCGCTTCGCTCGCTCCGTAAGAAATTTCCGTTATTCTACGTAAGACTCCGCTCGCTTCGCTCGCTCCGTAATCAGCAGTGTCCATGTCGCACGGTGGGATGCATAGATAACGTGGAAATTACTGTACCTACCTCCTGTTTTTGAAGTCATCATTATGGACAACCGATCGGCGATCACCTGTGACGCACATATCTCTGTCGGCTTTTCTGTTAGTTTTTACTGTCCAAGTGTATAACAGCCCAGCTTTACTGATATCGCTGATAGTGGATCGTCCCCTGTAACTCAACTCTCGATCAGTTCTTTCACCGTGGGATCCGCCCCGCTCTCCCAGTAGAGTCAGACCTCCTTGGTGCCCTCAGCTGACCCTCCCCTCCCGCTCCCCGCAGAGACAAACCTCCATAGTGCCTCAGCTGACCCTCCCCTCCCGCTCCCCCTTCCCACAGAGGCAAACCTCCGTGGTGCCCTCAGCTGACCCTCCCTTTCCCCCTCCCCGCAGAGACAAACCTCGGTGGTGTCCTCGGCCCCGACCGGCCGATCGACCAGCACCTCGTCTGTCGCCTCACGGACTGAACTCCCCGACTCTGTGCCGCGCCGAGAGCGCCCCACATCCCTGGAACTCTCCTCACCGGCGACCCTAGGACCAAGACTGTCCGGATCCCCGGCCTACGCGTGGGGCAGCCAGGACTCTGTGTTTAAACTGGAGGAGATTCCGGAGGGTGACGAGGAATTCACGGCGACGGAGACGAGTGAGGAGTCGACTTCGTCCTCCTCTCCGTCCCCCACTGGAGGAGAGGGAGGCGGTGACGGAGAAGGAAGGGATGGAGATGGACAGGGAAGTGGTGGAACAGATGGTGATGAGGGAGGAGGTGGAACTGGTGACGGCGGCGCTGGCATGGAAGGTGGTGATGGAGCTGGTGGTGACGGTGGTGCCAGTGGTTCTGGTGCGGACAGTCAGGGTGGCAGTGAGCGGCGCAGGACGGCGCCGGCCTCACCACCCCCGACAGACGGAACTCAGGACACGGAGGAGCGGACAGCCACCGAGCCAGGAACACAGCCAGCCGGTAACAACTCCGACCACGCCACACCCGCGGTCAACGGGAACGCCGTCCACCTGAGCCAGCCACCCACCAACGGAGCGGCGCTGACCGCCTCGAACGGCTCAGTCGCCCGCGTCTCTCCGCGACCAGCCGATCAGCCGGAGGGCCGCGGGGCTCCGTGGCGCTTCCCACTGCCCACCATCACCCCCAAACCGGCGCTGAATCTGCAGGGCGTGCGGTTCACAGAACCCGGGGAGGAGGCGCCGCCGTCCGCCGGCGCGCCGCAGACCCCGGCCGTGACAGTGACGGCAGCCAGCTTCTGCTGGCGCTGCGGCGGGGCCACGGCGCTGCGGGACGTGGGCCTGACGGTGCCGCGGGGGAAGCTGACGATGATTGTCGGGCCGATCGGCTGCGGGAAGTCGTCCCTGGTGACGGCGCTGCTGGGAGAGCTGTGTCGGACGGCCGGCAGCGTCACATGGGCCAGGTGAGACGGGCGACGACGGAGTGGTGGGGAGGTAAAAGGGTGGTCGGGCAAATCATGTTGACGATGTACTTGACACATCACAAAAGGTGTCTTTAAGGACAGCTATTTTTCAAGCATTGATGTGATGTGTTAGCGTTGAATAACGGAAAACGGGTGAGTGATTTATCGTTATTTCAACGCCAAAATTTGTATGTCACAAAATATGCTACAACTTACAATATACAAATGGTAGTTTGCCGTTCCTGACATTTTTTTATCCGCTTTACTCCTCTCTTCAGAAACACGACATTCGCCTATGCCTCTCAATCTCCATGGCTTTTCAACGACTCTCTGAGGGCAAACGTGCTGTTCGGCCGCCCATTGAAGAAGGGTCGGTACCAGCGCGTGCTGACTGCGTGTGACCTACGGAAGGACATCGAGCTGCTCGGCGCGGACGAGGACAGCACTGCCATCGGCGAGCAGGGCAGCGTGCTGTCTGGCGGTCAGCGGCAGCGCGTGGCCGTGGCGCGCGCGCTCTACTCCAACGCCAACTGTGTTATACTGGTAAGCTGCTGCAGGGGGGCGAGGGATGCTAATATCGCTCGTGGTCTCCTGATCAGAACATAATGCCGTGTCATGTGTATTTTAGTGGAGTACGGCGGGATGAACTGGGTACGTACTCTGCCATTGTGGGCTCAGAGGTCAGAGCTGACGCTTGTCGTGTGGGCATTGTCGTGGGATAAATGGGGCCATGTCGACGTGTGATGTACTGAAATCTGAGTCCGTTCTGTGTGGGTTATACCGTGAAATAGTTCAGACCTGTGTCGTGGGATGCACTGACGCCGTTAGCCGGTCTCGTGTGGGAGCTCCCGTGGGATGACTCGGACCCGTGTCGCAGTGGATACATCCGGTACGACTCCCTGTTGGGTCATCGTTATGAACTAAAGTGGGCAGAGGTGCGACTCCTGTGGGTTTGCATCGTCGTATTCTATGACAAATGTTCGTCTGTTTCTCTATAGTTAGCCCAGCTCTGTATCACAAGGATTAGTTCATACTAGAATGTGGTACCTGCTAACCTTCCTAAGGCAGAGTCGCTGATAGCAGGCTCAGCCACCTGTTAAAACGTTGATAGCTGCGACGTAATCCTGATTTATACCATGGTACTGCGTTGTTCTCAGGTCACATATCCCTGATGCTACAAATCACTCGCTAACAATAGTTACCATTGTAAATATACTTATTTCGATAACTGATGCTTCTACTTGTCAGGCAGTCAGGCAGTCAAGCTCATTTGTCAGGCAGTTTCTACGTCCAGTGTTCCTCACCTCCCCCCCCCCTCTTTGCTCCCAGGATGACCCCCTGTCGGCGCTGGACGTCCACGTGGGCCAGCACGTGTTCGAGAACGGCATCAGGAAGATGCTGCTGAAGGAGGGGCGCACCGTCATCCTGGTGACACACAAACTGCAGTACCTCAAGTATGCCGACAAGGTGCGTGGTGTCGTGGTCAGTCTGGGAGCTGACTGTATGTGACCTACGAAGCCTGTTGTATAAGGCTACCATAATAGTCTGGGTGATGAATAGTGGTTTTAATTCTGGATAACGGTTTCCGCTCTCGACTCTAAAGGCTTACTTTTTATATCGGCTGGTGCAAGCTGATGGTCATTTCGTTATCTTCCCGCTAACTGCCGGGCTAAGCCGCTGTCATTGAAGTGCTAGTTGTACTTCAGCGCCAGGCACACCCATCCCTTCTGTTCCGCAGATAATCGCTCTGGAGGCGGGCCGGGTGCGCCAGCAGGGGACCCTGCAGCAGATCGAGGCGGCCGAGCCGGAGCTGGTGAACCGCTGGCAGGAGCTGATCCGACTCGACCAGCAGCAGGAGACCAAGGAGGCCGCCGCCGAGACGCGCACGGCACGGGAGCGCTGGCGACTCATCCAGGTCATACAAAAGTTCCGCAGACTGCCGGCGGTGAGTGGCCAGAGGACGGGAGACTCACTGAGGGGGGGGGGGGGGGAGCTGCAGACTGCCGACGGTGTGCGGTAAGCAGTGATGAAAGTGGTTGTTTTGAATGAAGTGAAAACCGAGGTAATTTGAGACGGCTCGCCATCCAAATAATGGCGTCTTCTTTTGGTAGTGTTACAATTTTACGGCCTTTTTGACTTGCATGTTTTAAACCAATACTGTTTCGATTACATACACTCTCTTTTCAGCAGTCGTTCTGACTATATCCCCCCCCCCTCTCCCCTACAGGAGGGGCCGGCGCTGCCGCGCGACTCGTTCTCGGTCCGCCGCTCGGCTCTGCGGCGAAACACCTCGCTGCGCCACCAGGTGTCGCACCTGCTGCCCATGAGTCTGGACGACGGCGACGAGTACGGCTCGGCGCCGCGGCGCCGCTGGACCACCTCGGCTCGCCGCGGCCGCGGCTGGGACCTGCTGGCGCGCCAGTACGGCCGCTCCAGCTCGCTGCGACCGGCCACCCCGGGCACCCCTCAGTCGCTGACGGACGGGGCGGAGGGCGGCGACCCGGCGGCCGCGGCGCGACGCCAGACCCTGCAGAGGATGGCCTCGCTGCCGCCCACCATGCCGTCGCCGCGCGGCCCGGCACGCAGCGGCTCCGTCTCGGAGGCCGGCAGACGCTGGGCGGATGGCTTCCACCGACTCATGGGCAGGTGAGGGACGCGGACGGCCGGCGGTCTGCTGAGAGGAACCGGGCTACTGGGGCTGCTAGAGTCACTGTTGTCAAAGTGCATACATTGTGATACCTCTTCCCAGTCAGGCTGATTTCTCTTGTCGCAGCATCTCTTTTCCGCAAAGGACTTTAGGGCATTCGTCTCGTATGATGTATGGTATAAAAACGTCTCCTTCATTTTCTGCCATGCTTGGAGCATTATGCCGTTTATAATTGGGAAAAAGAAGGCGGATTTGTTATATTGTCGCCTTTCATTATCAGGATATCACGGTATTACTGGACTGAGACGTTACGGCGCACCAGTATGTATCGGGGCTCCCTCCCCACCTAACACCCGTCCCCCTCCGGTCCACAGGCCGTCTCTGCGCTCCAGCTCGCGTCCGACGCCATCGTCTGAGGACCTGTCCGGCCACCCGCCGTCCGACCAGCTGACGGCGCTCGTCTCCCTGGATCCGGAGCCGCCGGCGGCCCGGCCTCAGGTGTCGCGCAATGTCTCCATAGCGTCCACCCACAGCGAACAGACCTGCGATGGCGAGGAGGGTGAGAGGACGGCCGTGGTCGGACGCAGAGGACTGAGGAGGCACAGGACTGTGCGCTGCACGGGGCGGGGACGGACGCTAGTCCTTTCGCGATTGTAGGACAGGCTGGTCGAAGGGAAGAGCTCCTTCTAGGCTTCTGTTGTTTGGTTCTTATGGTTAAGTATTTGTACATTTTTTCTTCACTTTTTAGTGTAGCGCTTGTGTTTTAAAGCATCGTGCCTCATCTTTTTTACTCGATGGATTTTAAATGAATGTTCAGCTCCGTGTGTTAACCAAGTTAATTGTTTTGGGATATGCTGGGTCACAGATAACAGTAGTACTACTAGTAGTACTACTGTTATCTGTGGCTGGGTGAATTAGCTGCTGACGTATTTCATTGCGTCTGGTTCTGCAGAGGCCGAGGTGGACTCGAGACGATACTCTGAGGAGGAGCGGGAGAAGGGCAAAATATCGAAGAAGCTCTACCTCAAGTACATCCGGGCGTGCGGCTGGGGCTTCGGAGCCCTCTATCTACTCATGTTCCTGCTTACTCAGGGTCAGTGTTGTTTATAATAGATTATTGTATGGTCAGTTGTGGTCGTCATACACGAACTGTAATGGAATTTAAAGACAATGCTGAACCGGCACTGCTGCCATTTTCTCTCTTTTACTTGGCATTATACGCGGAAAAATCCCGGTCAGTCTCGACTGCACAGCTTTCTTTTCTGCCCGTCTCTCACTGGCTTCCACCTAACCCTGTCTCTCCGCCCAGGGATGCACTTCTTCATGGACTACTGGCTGAGTTTCTGGAGCGAGTCGGCCTCCGAGTGGAACATCACTCACGCCCGCCAGTGGCGCCAGCGGCAGGAGGCCGCCGAGGCGCGCAGTGCCGTGCTGCCCCAGAACGTCAGCCAGGCGTACGACCAGTACGTGCAGCGGCAGACCCAGTACTACCTGACCGTGTACGCTGTGTCGGGCGGCGTGGCCGTGCTGCTGGCTCTGGCGGCCAACGTGAGCGGTCAGTACGCCGGGGCGCGCGCGCGCCGGCACCTCCACAACCGACTGCTGAACGCTGTCACACGCAGCCGGAAGGAGTTCTTCGAGCACACGCCGGCCGGAAGGATCATCAACCGGTTCTCCACCGACGTCAGCTTCATCGACAAAGTGCGTGGAGGGAGAAGGGATGAGAAAGGCAGGCTACAAGGCTACAAGCACGTGTTTTGCATTTGCATTTTTTACAGGATGTTGTAACTCGGACAGTTTGTTACTAATGTGTGAAGCGCTGGTACTGGCTGACCTCTGCCCTCTGCTGTGTTTCAGAAACTGGCGACGGCGATCCACATCCTGCTGTACTTTGTGCTGCAGTGCTTCACGGCCGTGGTGGCCAACACCATCGTCAACTGGTGGTTCATCATCATCGCCACAGTCATCGGCTTCATCTACTACTTTCTGCAGAGGTTCTACCGGACGTTCGCCATGTGAGTCGCTCTAACGGGACGGAGGTGGGTGGTGGGATGACTTGGGATTGGAGTGAATATATGAGAACATTGTAACGCGCTCTGGTGGAGTGCGACGAACTGTCTATAGCTACTATATAAAACGCCTCTAACTTTGACATCGGCAATGCACTCCCGTGCCCCAGCTGCCCGCCAGTCTCCACTGACTTCTACTCCTTCTTCTGCCCGTAGCGAGCTACAGCGGCTGGACAGCATCGCGCGCTCACCCATCCAGTCTCATTTCGCCGAGACCCAGTCGGGCCTGGCCGTGATCCGCGCCTACCGCTACCAGGGCCGCTTCTTCTCGGCGCTGCTGCAGGCGGTGGACACGCACCTGGTCACCTCACTGCTCTACGAGTGTGGCCAGCGCTGGCTGGGAATCGCACTGGTGAGTGAAGTGATGGGAGGGGAAGGGGTTGCTAGCGAATAGAATGTGATGGGTTTGAGTGGGAATGGGACAGAAGATGCGAAGAGTACGTGATGAAGATGATAAGAGTACGTCAAGCTAAGGCTATTTTCCCATTCAAATGGTCGGTGTAATTGGGGGCGGAATGGCCTATCAGTTAATTACGGCCTATGTTGAAGCAGTGAATTGAACACCGAGTTCTCGACCAGTGATCATCAGTCGTACCACCACTGCCTTCCCTCTTTCCCTCTGTATCATAGAGCCACTCCATCTCTGCCTATGTCTAACCACTTTCTCTCCCCCTCCCCCCCATCCACAGGACTACCTGGGCGCCGTGATCGTATTCGCGTCCAGCATCACGGCGGTGGGTGTGGCTGTGCACAGCGACCAGCTCTCGCCGGGCGTGGTCGGCCTGGCCATCAACTACACACTGCTCATACCCATGTACCTGGTCTGGGTGGTGAGGTCGCTGAGTGACGTCGAGATGTATATGTGCGCCGTGGAGCGGGTGGAGAAGTATGGAAGCCTTCGGGCAGAGGACTACAGGCAGAACAGGATCGGTGAGTAGGAGAGGAACAGAGGAGAGAGGCAGGAAAGGAAGGGAAATAAGAGAGGGATAGGGAAGGGAGTCAGGGAAGAGAGGAGTAAAGGAGAGGAACGGGAACAGGAACGTGACGAAAAATCGACCATTAATAGTATTGAGGGGTACAGGTCACAGGAGCCAGGGAACGCCACGGTTGAGCACCCCCTTGCATGTGCTACACTAATTGTCAACAGTGTATTGGCTCTTCGATGACTTTGTTGTCAGTGCAAAACAGCGTATTCGAACTGCGATCAACCAGTTTGCAGCCCGGCGGTTTGTCTAACCGATTTTGACTACCAATCTGTGTCTTCTATGAACTCTACCCGTCAGAGAAGATACCACCCGGTCACTGACCATCCCTCCCTCCCTCCCTCCGTGCCACAGTGGCCGACTACTGGCCGCGGCACGGCAAGATCGAGTTCTGCGGGGCCACGATCGGCTACAGTTCCGAGTCGGCGGCCCGGCTGCCGGCCGAGACGAACACGGCTCCGGCGGCGGCAGCCATGTCAGCGGCCGTGACGGCGGCGACCGAGGTGGCCGCCGAGGTGGCCGAGACGGCGCCCCTCACCCCCGTCACCGTCACCGTACTGAGGGACATCAACCTCACCATCGAGCCCGGACAGAAGGTGGGAGCACGGGAGGCGACTGTAAGGGGTCCCTAGGACCGCGGAAGAAAGATCGTATGACGGAGTGTAATGGAAAGAGCCATTGAGGTAACGCATAGAACCTCTGAGTGTGGCTGAAAAGTCTTATGATGGAGATTTTGCAGCAAGTAATGGAACCTTCAAAGCCTTCGGATCATTCGGATCTTCAAAGTTTTTGGATCAAAATCATTCGGAATGTAGAACGAACCCTACGGACCGTGTGTCTCGTCCCCCGGCTCTCCTTAGTTCGTAACACCACCATTCCACATTCTTGTCCGTCCGTCGGCACTAACTATGTCTCCGTTCCCTCTCGACAGGTGGCGCTGGTGGGCCGCTCGGGCAGCGGCAAGTCTACGCTGGCGATGGCGCTGTTCGAGATGTCTGACCTGCTCGAGGGCAGTATCAAGGTGGATGGACAGAGCCTGTCCTCGCTGCCGCTGCACGCGGTCCGGTCGCGGCTGGCGCTCATCCCGCAGGAGCCGCTGCTCTTCTCCGGGACAGTCAGGTCAGTTAGAGAGGATGACAGGGGGAGGGAAGGGGCGCTCATCCCGCAGGAGCCGCTGCTGTTCTCCGGGACAGTGAGGTCAGTTAGAGAGGATGACAGGGGGAGGGAAGGGGCGCACCGCGGGAGCCGCTGCTCTGCTCCGGGACTGTGTGGTCAGAATGTGGTGTGATTGAGGAGTGCGTTGGGGTTTGGGAGGTTGATCAAACTGAAGTGGGAGTGTCAATTATGAATTAGTTCAGGACAACTCTGAACGATGTGCAGTCGCGGCTGCGATGCACGTCAGATCAGAACGGCACGAAATCGGGACTGCGTTTGAAGGCTGGAGGGCTGGGTTGGGTCATGAAGAGGGCGGAGAAGTCTGTGGCATCCAGCTGGCTCTGACTTTGTGTGTAGTCACAGCCAGCAACCTCTGTCATTCCCCCAGGTCGAACCTGGACCCCAAGTGTGAGATGGCTGACGATCAGGTGTAAGATACTCACAGCTCACAGCTGACACCGTTTCGTATTCTCAGGTCGAACCTGGACCCCAAGTGTGAGATGACCGATGATCAGATGTGGGAGGCGCTGGAGTTGGTCCAGCTGAAGGACTTCATCTCCAGCCTCGGCAGGGGACTGGGTAAGTCATACAGCACAGCCTTAGTCGGGTCGAAGCCGTAGTTACTTACATAGCAGAGTACCTGCTGGACATAGCTGTTCGCATAGCTGTCGTATAGCGGGGTACCTGAAAGTGAACTTGTCATTTATTATATTGTATGTACTATTTAGTTCGCATGCCTAAGGTGTAGAGTAGGGTAGAGTGGGGTAGTGGGCCTTGGCTGCAGATGCCTGCCGTATGTCTATGGCAGCAGTGGCCATTCTCCCCTCCCCATCTATGGTAGTAACCTGCAGGGCTGGAAAAAGTGTTTCGGTGGTTGTCGTCCAAAGAAAAACGGGCTTATTTGGTTGTCAACTCAAGATGTCTAACCCGCGCCCCGCTGAGGGTCCTTGATTTCCACGCCCTGCTCAGGAGGGGGGGGGGGCGGTCAAACACCCCGCCCTTTTAACTCGGATCCTGGGTCACGTAGTGACAAGCAGGAAACGGCATTCGAAAGAACGTCCAAAAATAAGGGCAAAAATATGACATTCGTTTTGTAGGCTAAGTCAAAGGTCAGGTCACCAGAGGTCATTAAATGAAAGATATTGCCTTTCAATATTTTTTTCAAAACCCGCGCACAACTCGGAAACCAATTATATAGAGCTGTACAGCGCCGCGGAAAAGAATAGATACTGCCCTTTGACCCTTTCGGTGACCCTTCGACGGTGCCACTGGTTGACTTCCACTCACCTTTGAACAAAACGTGCTCAAGTTGGTACACTTCAGTCGTGCAGACGCCGTGTTCCTCGACCTTGGAAGTCCCGAGACACCATATCCCCGTGGGCATGTCATGGCGTGCCCTCCCCTCGGCCTCATCAAAACATTACCGGCACTGACACGGTCCCACTCAAGATGTCCCGCCGCGGACCTACCCCCAGGCGCCACCGGGGTGGGTTTTGACGTCACAAAAGGAGCCCCGGCGGATTGGAGGGGACGCTAACTGGCCGCCGGCCGGGGGCGGCGCTGAAGGGTGCGGGCAGGGGCCGGCCGAGTCCTGGAATGTACTAGATTTGCCAGACACGTGTTGCCAGCGGACAACCACGGCGACCACTTGGTATGCCATTGGTCGTCTTTATGAGGGTCACCGATCGGCCGTCCGAACGATGGTCGAACGACGCAGTATATACTAAATAGCTACGGGGAGCTGGAATATGTCTGTAGCTACCAGGAAATTTTCCACTGGGATGCCGCCGCGTACGGGAGGTAACGGACTCGAGAACTGCGAGTCGATGTGATGGGGAGGGACAGAGAATGGTTTGCGTGGGCAGAGGTGATTGGGTTGCGTGGGCAGAGGCGGATGGATTGTGCGCTTCTAACCGCACTAAGCGGAAGGAGTTAATCAGTTCAGGCGCTGCGCGTGGTCGCCATAAGATCGTCTCCTCGGTTGTCGTCGACAACGACAAAACGATACAATTTTTCACCCCTGGTAACCTGTAGTTGTCCCCACACCTGACCCGTCCCCTTCCTCGGCAGACCTGTATGTATTAGCGATCCCCACACCTGACTCCCCTCCCCCTGCAGACCTGGAGGTGCAAGAGGGCGGTGAGAACTTCTCGGTTGGCCAGCGCCAGCTGCTCTGCCTGGCGCGCGCGCTGCTCCGGCGCGCCCGTGTCGTGGTCATGGACGAGCCGACCTCCTCACTGGACGCCGAGACTGTGCGCGCCCTGCAGGGGATCGTGCAGCGCGCCTTCCGTGATAGCACGGTCATCACGATCGCCCACCAGATCGCCACAGTGCTCGACTACGACCTGCTGTTGGTGCTGGACGGCGGGAGGCTGGCCGAGCAGGGCCCGCCCAAACAGCTGGCCAAGAAGAGGGACGGACTGTTCGCGGGCATGCTGCGAGCTGCGCTTGACCAGGGTGCCAGTCTGACCGAGAGGATAGGATGAGGGCGGGTCACGCCAGGGTGGGTGGGATAGGGACAGTGAGATGGGGAGGGGTTAGGGGGGACGAGGGATGCCAGTGTGATGAAGAAACGGACAGGGGTGTGGTCTTTACGTTGTCCAGCAATGGAACTAAGATTGACTCGGTCAGCGGGTGCGGTAGACTTCAAACATAGGGTTGGGAATCCTTACTGCCGGGCCTGCAGTCTGCACTGGGGCCAGGTAGCCTGCCTCGGGTCTGAGACTATCACATTGACGTGGTGACTGATCGGCAGGGGCGGATCCAGAAAATCTCCAAGGGAGGGGCCATTAGAAACCATAATCCCACCTGTTGGAGGCCCCATCTTCCCACTTGTTGGCCCCCCCCCCCAAAAAAAAAACTGCGTCTATTGAGCTTATCTAGCTGTTCAGGCAACATTTTTCGGATTTCGGCCACTTTATTTTCAGGAGGCCTCCTTTTCAGCTTTTTAACTTTTTATTTTATTTTTGAAAAAAATCGGCCAAGGGGGGGGCATGGCCCCCATGGCCCCCCCCTTGTATCCGCGCCTGCTGATCGGTGCTATAACGTGATGACGTTTCCCTCCGCTCCATTGGGAGCCGGGAGACAGAGCCAGCGGCGGGTGGTGGCCGTCGGGTCACAGGTCACATGAGATTACGCCTTTCGATGGTTAACTCAGATCAGGGGACTCCAAGCTGATCAGTTGGCCCGTGCCGCCGTGCGACTCGTGCGTCGGGAGGATTTTGGACGGACGATTTCCGACCGTTGGTTCCCGACCAGTCACGAAGGAGTCGTGTGTGAAACTGACTTCGCGATTTATATGTGCTTTTATCGTGTATGAGATTCACCGGCGTGCTGTGTTTTATCGTGTAAAATCGACTCAACTGCGCCAGTCGAGTATTACGTCTTCTATGACCTGTCATTGACCGTGTATTGTTTATATTGACTCTGTTGTTGGACGCGGATTGGCTGTGTGTCCAATACTCTGCCTGCCCGGCGCGGTGGACAGGCCGGTGGTGCCGAGCGTCCCGCCCGCCCCGGTCTGCAGGCCAGTGAGGGGGCGCCGCCGCCACGGCCAGTCGGGTGGACACTGTGCGCCCCGCCCGAGTATTACTACGTGTACAGTCTGTCTTAAAAGTACCGCGCAAAGTGACGGTGGATCCATCAAGCCTGACCGAGGAAGGGCCTGCTATAATTTGAAAGTCACCGAACCAATGGAGCTGGGGAATGGACGAGGATGTCCATTGCTTCGGTGACTCAAATTTGGCAGTCCTTCCTCGGTCAGGCTTGATGGATCCACCGTCACTTTGCGCGGTACTTTTAAGACAGACTGTACATTGCACAACCATCGTTCATTGAGCGCGCTTTTATACAATACAGAGGCTATATTTGTATGAAACACGAACATGTTTGATGGTGCATGTAAAGACTTTTAAAGTCTTTCCGGAGAATAGTGCCAGTAGAATGGTGCAATTTGCCACAAATAGTCTGAGCGGTGATGGGTATTTGCCTAGATCTATAGCTGTGGCACCGTAGCTCCATTTATCATCTGGTCGTGAGATTCATCTGACGCTGCGCAGCATGCATGCTATTTATTCCGCTGTTCATTTATCTCTACTTGTGCTCGCGTTTGACGCCGACCGGATTCAGATGCCCATCCAGAGTTGTGGTGTGACGACGGCTAGTATCATTCTATCATTTTTAATACCCAACGCTGATGCTCGACAGTAGTCCTAGCTCTTAGTTGCAGGATGAGCTGTTCAACGCAGGTATATAACTTATGCCATACAGTTGTCCAGTTTGTCCCCTGCCAAGGACTTACCAACACTTCCCAGGCTGTCCAATTGGAAGCGGGCCCTGAAAAAAGATACCGAGATCCGGCTTTGATCCAGGGACCTCTCGCTCCCATCGGACTTCGGAGACGCGCAGTCCAACCACCACACATCTGTGGCCTCCCGAACCATCCGAAACTCATTACTCGGTGATGCTGACGCCGCTGGCGCCCCCTCCCCACCCCAGTCCAAACGCGTCGTGCTCCGAGTGGTCCGTGTATTGGTCCGCCTCCGGTGTCGGGTGTCGGTGTCACCGGGGACCGTCTCCGGCCGGCGACACGGCCCGGCCCGGCCCGGCCCACCCACTCGCCGCTGAATTGACATTCGATAGTGCCGGAGACGGGCGGCGGCCGGCCGCCGGAGTCTCCGGCGTCCGCTCCGGCCGGGGCGGGCGGTCTCCGCCGTCCCCGGCCCACAGTCCGACCACCTTTGTACAGTGCGACGCCGCGCGGGCCGCAGTCGGCCCGTTTGGCACCCGATATATGGTCACTAATTCTCTACAAACAGCCACAGGCAGGCCGACGGTTACACTGAACAGACGCGCGGTGCCTAATATAACCACCACAGGTCGCACAGCACTCTCTCACCCGCTCGGTCTCCCGGTTTGTACAATTTATACATATTGCACTCCCTTTTCGGCACCTGATAACGACCAAAAATAAACAGGAATACTTCCAACATACCAGTACACTCAAGCGTAGAATCAAATCCGACGGTCGGCCGATATTTGTAACACCTAAACAGCGTCTGGTTTACATAACAACGCTGGCCTCGGGCGTTGAACAGCAAACACCAAACAACGAAAGCACTGGAAACGCACGCTCCGCCACACCTAACTGCCGTGACAGCGGGTTAAACTCTGACAGCGAGCGGCCTGAGAAAACGGGCGACTGCGACTCGAGGGCCCCTCGAGGCCGCTCCGTCAACAACTTGACACAGCACGAGCACTGGCAAGAGTCGTGAAGTTGAACGCTCCCGTAGAGCCCGCAACATTCACGGCAACAACACGACCGGCAGACGCTTCCACAGCGGGTTGGCGCGGCAGTCGAGCCAGCGGCGGCCGCGGGGACTGCCGCCGGGCCCGGCTCCGGACACAGGGACAGAGGTGCGGCCCGAGGCCTTCTACACGACATCTACAGAAACGGTACAGTACAAAAAGACAACTACCTGGCTTAGGTAACTGCATGCGAGACGATATATACAGGATGGCACTGTATGTACAAAAATAAGGGAACAGAACTGTTTTGAAAGCCCCTCCATTGCTGTGCTGACGCAACGTTTAGTCTCACTCCACCTCCTCTAGTCCTTCTCCGTCAATGTTCAAAGTCCACGAGTCCTTCCTCCCCACGTCCACTGCTCCCATCGCGCTGTCACTGTCCACTCCGCAGCCTGCGCAATGCCGCCATTCTCGTCTTCACCCACATGGTCAGAGCGCGATCACTCCAAGCTCGTCCAGCGGCGGCCCGGGGCCGTCTTAGTCAATCACAAACACCACAATCACCGCGGGTCCACTCGAGAGCAGAGCTGCTCCGGGGTCGCAGGTCTGTCCATCACCCGCAGTTCGGGTCAGGGCCGCGGGAACCTCCCGGACGGCCAGACGGTCACACCCAACGCTGTGGACAGTTCACGTCCCGCAGTCGGGGATAGCAGTGAGTTCAGTCTCAGTCCCGACTGGTCCGTTCAGTCAGACTCGCCAGTCTGTTCAGTTCTCAGTCACAGACTCGCCAGTCTGTTCAGTTCTCAGTCACGTATGTAATTCTCAGTCGGTTTGATGGCCAGGTAGGTTGGCACCGGAACGGAGTTGATACTTAAACTGCAACAGAAACAGAAAAGCTACGCTGTGATAATCCGAAACGACGAACAAGGTGAAAGGGGGAATAAGACATAACTGACAATCCATGAAAAGAGAGTGAAGGAATGAAGACAATGAAAACGCAAAGAAACCGGTAAAAAGGTACAAGGGAAGGCAACATGATAACAAATAGAGACGCAGTGAACAAAGATAAAGAAAACGCCAGAGCTCAACAAATGAATTGGGCATTTGGATTTGACTTGGCAATTGAATTTGACAAATGTCGCCTCTGCGCCAGCCAAGCTCTGCTCACGCGGGATGCGTCATCACTCACCGCTGTCTCCGTTGATGTAGTCGATCAGTCCCATGCCCTTGGGCAGATCACTGAGCGGGTCCTCGGCCGGCGCCGCGCTGGGGGCAGGGAACGCCACCTCGCCCCACATGGGGTCACTGCGCCGGCTCTGCGCGGGCGCAGGGGCCGGCTCCGAGGCGGCCACCGTCTCCTGGAGCACGTCCGCCAGCTGCTGCTGCGACCAGGTCGGCACCTCGGCGGCCGGCGTCCACTGGGGCGGCTGCTCGGCCGGCGGCTGGGGCTGTGTGTGCTGTGTATGCTGCTGCTGCTGCGGGGCAGACCACGTCTTCTCCACCTCCGCTGCGGTCCAGGTCTGCACCGGCGCCGGCGCCGGGGCGGCCTCCTTCTGCGCCCAGCTGGTCTTGGTGTCCACGGCCAGGACGGACCAGGACTGCTCGCCACTCGCCGTCTCTCCGGCGGTGGTCACGGCCGTCCAGTCGGACCCCACCCGCGCCGTCGTTGGCTCCGACTCGGGGTTCCAGTTGCGCCCGCCCTCCGCCGGCGCAGTCGGCTCCAGACCGTGCCAGGCGGACGGAGCGGTGTCGGCGGCAGTGGTGACAGCCGTCTCGGTCTCCATCTGCCACGTCTCGGCGGCCGGCTGCGGCGGGGCGGCCACCGTTTCCGGCCAGCCGTGCTGGGACACGGCCTCCACCACATCGGCCGCCGTCCACTTCTGCACCACCACCGACTCGGAGACGATGGTGGCCACCTCGCGCTTCCACAGACTGTCGGCGGCGCCGTCCGTCGACGCCGACACGCTGGCCGTCCAGCCGCTGGCGGCGGGCGTCTCCGTCTTGGGAGAGCTCCAGGCGGTCTCGGTGGTCGGCGGGGACCAGGCGGCCTGCGAGGCCGGCGCCTCGGGCTGCGGTGACGGCCAGCCGGTGGTCTCTGCCGAGCCGGGGGCTGTGGTCGGGGACCACGCCTCCTGTCCGGTGGCAGCGCGGGTCTCCGTTAGCGACTGCGGGGGCCAGGTGGCGGCAACCTGTGACGAGTCCGCCTGGGACGCCGCTGACGGCCAGACGGCCTGTGAGGAGACGTCAGTGCGCGTGGCAGGGCTCCACTGGTCAGCCTCCGCCGCGTCAGCCGCCCGCTGCTGCTGCTGCTGCTGTTGAGCCTGTTGCTGTTGCTGCTGCTGCTGCTGCTGCTGCTGCTGCTGCTGAACTTGCTGTTGAAGTTGTCGCTGTTGTTGCTGGACCTTTTGCTGCTGCTGCTGTTGTTGTTGTTGCTGCTGCTGTTGCTGTTGCTGCTGCTGCTGCTGCTGCTGCGCGGCCCAGCCGGTCGGAGTAGCCACCTCCTGTGTCACGGGTACGCTCTGTTCCTGTCGGCTCGTCCAGTCAGCCCCCGCCGCGGCGGTCACCTCCTGGATCAGCGGCGCCGGGCCGGCCGCGTTCTGAGTCAGGGCCACCGTGACGAACATGCTCGGCGAGCACCCGACGTCCGGGGCCACCGGCACCAGCTGCATGGCCGGCACCTTGTCCGTCCGCGGCTCCAGCGCCGCCGGCTGCTGCACGGCCACTGCAGGACACGTAACAGAAAGTCAGCGGACCGCTCAGTCCTCACTGAGCAATTTGACGATTCCCACATGATCCAGCAACGAACGAAAGTGGATCGCTTTATTCGCAGGCCATTGAATCAGTAGCATGATGGCGTAGTACACAAATTAACAGGTTAAAGGGTAAACAATTATTGTCATGTTTCTACCACGGCCTGCATACAAATGAAAAACAAGCCCGATCTAGTATCCCCTTCATTACATAAGACAGAGACCGTCCGTCTCAGTTCGACTTACCTGAGACAGCAGCGGGGTCTGCGAGTTCCGCGCGCGCCGATGACGACGTCTTGATGGCCGGCTCTGACGGCTGAACTCCGGCTCCCAGCAGGATCTCGCCAGTCTCCGCAAAGTATCGGTTTATCGCGATGGCAGCTGTAAAGAGAAGAACGTGTGTTAGACCTAAAGTCGCAAAAGCTCGAACAAATCAATAGGCATCAATTGTTTATGCCGTTCTTGTAGATCAGTATTATTGCGTAGCCACAAAACAAATGCATGCAAAGCACATCTCAATTACTTATGCCGTTCTTGTAGACCAGTATTATTGTTTAGGCACAAAACAAATGCATGCAAAGCTCATCACAGAGTATGAACATGTATATGTAAGGAAACTAGGAGCAGATGTAACCACCAGGACGGCTCGGCCGCCCGGCGCGGGTGTTCACCTTGCGACACGCCGTTGGGCAGCTGCTTGCCGCCGGTCTCGGCTCGGTCAGGTGTGGAGGTCAGCTCTGCAAGACCGCCACAGTCAGAACGGTGGCGGCGGACGGCGGGCCGCGCGGCCGCACCGGTCACGGACGGCGCGCGCCGGTCTGTGGCGCCGCCGGACGGCCTCTGAGCGGGCCGGCGCGGGGCCACAGACCGCGGAGCGCGCGCCCACAGACCGGGCGGCGGCGCACGGCCGGCGCGGCGGCCGTCCTCCAGTGAGTGGGACGGCGCGCGCCGGCCGCCGCACACCGCCGCCCGGGCACAGCACACAGCTCCCTCGGGTGCGGCCCTCCTCAGTCACACTCGCGGCACTCAGTCGCCCACTCAGACAGAGGCGCGCGCCTCCCTCCCGGCCCGCCCCGCCCCGATCGGCCCAAACTCGGCGCTCTATGGCCTCCCGTCCCGCCCGCCCGTCCCACCCCCCGGGCGCGCGCCTCCTCTCACAGACGGCAGCTCTCGGACCAGGTTGGCAGGCACGCAGGGCGGGTCCACTAGCGCGCGCGACAGCCACTCTCCGGCCGCTCGACAGGGGCTCGCCGCGGCTGGGCGCTGGCGCCGACCGAGGCCAGGCGCGCCGGTCCGCGCCCCGTCCGTCCGGCCGGCCGGCCGCTGAGGGCGACGCCGGCTCGCGCTGAGGGCGCGGAACGGGACGCGGCCGGCGGAGTCGGCGTCGGCCGGCGCCGGGAGTGGAGCGCGGCGCGCGGCGCCGGGCGCTGGTCAGCCCGGCGGCGGGCGCCTCCAGCCATTCTGCGGACCGAGAAGGGCGAGCCCCTGCCGGGCGCGGCTTTCACACAGCCAGTCACACCGCGGCGCTCACATTCCGTGCACAGGAGAGCCGCACCCCGGGCGGGGCGCGACCCGGCACAGGGCGCGGGCCGGCCCCGAAACAACACTCTACACATGTACACAACAGCAAAACGGCATAGCATACACAGCGGGAGCATAGAAAACAACAAAACTCTCCGGTCTCGGCAAAAAATCGAAGAGCAAACTAGTACATGTTGCCTCCGACAAAGTCAATCTGGCTGGCGGAGAATCTGTTAGCACAACTTTGTACAGAACTCAGTACTCGACTCTGCCCGGCGGGCGACACGCCAGGCTCGTTACGTTGAACTCTGAGCAGGTACGTTAGTGGCGCCGCGCGGAGGCGGCCGCGGCAGCTACGTTACAGAGCGACTGTGTCGGCAGTGCTGGACTGCGGCAGCTACGTTACGGGTGGTGTGGGGAGGCATCTGGACGGCGTGTCAGGCCAGGTCCGCCGGCCAGTCCGCCGAGCCGACCTCGGCGCCGCCGGCAGCCGCCGCGGTCACCGAGGCCGGCCGAGCAGCCCGACAGGGCGCGGCAGGAGCTGCAACAGGCGGATCGGGGACGCGGTGAGAGGCGGGCTCACCACACGGAGGCTCGGCCGCCGGGACAGCGGGCGCGAGCCGGATAGGCCGCGCTGAGGGGCGCCGGGCGACTCTGGACGGCGTGACGAAGGATCAGGAGGCAGGACGGAGGGTAGACTGAAGCTGAGTCTGTGGAACAGGGGACACAGCAGCGGTCGGAGAGGAGAGGGACTGTGGACATACGGAGGGACTGCGGATATGGAAAGAGCGGTGGGGTTGCGATCTGCGGACACAGGAAGCAGCGGGGCTGTCGGGACTGCGGAAGCACACGGAGGGCGGCCCCTCAGCCGGCGCGGACGGGGAGCGGCGGTCAGTCAGGAGCGGAGCGGCGGGCTCGGGACGGACCAGTGAGGAGGGCGGACGGCCGGCGGCTCTGACCTGGGCACACCGGCCGACCGACACTGGACCTGATCCGCGCTGGAGGTCGGCCGCCGCGCCGACGGCCCGCGCCGAGGGAGGCCCGCCTGGGGCGCTGAGGACAGACAGAGACGTGAACGGGACACCCGGCCCGGCCCTGCCCGGACCACAAACAGCCGCTACAAGAGCGGTGTCGGCAGGTCCACTCCCAAGCTTCAACCAGTCTCCTCCCGACCGTGTCATCTGCCAAACTGTACTGACCAGAATTCATCTACCTTGGAAGGATTTGGCTCGTTCTGTTCAACTTTTGGATAAAATAGCAAGTAAAACAATTTTTTGGTGAAATATTCGCAAACTTTGCCCTCACTTTTTCCAATTCCCTTTCAATTTCAACCCCACCGTATTCGCCCAATTTCAAGTTGGATGCTCCCGATTCTGGATATATCAACTCGAAGTTTTCAAATGAGCTAAAGTTCCATTGAAATTCACCCAAGGCTCAAACTTTCCCGGTTCGGGAAGCATTCACTTTTGTTTCAGCCTCCCTCTTCCCAAGAAAAGTGTCCAATATGACTGAACAATATGGAACTCAGACTTAAGTTATTACTCATTACCCCATTACTGCCCTTGCCAAAGATCTGCTGTCCTTCACCCCGTAGACTCCCAGCACCATACTCCGTCCGGCTGTTCTATTTACAGTCCGTCAAAGCCAGCTACGCCAAAGCGGAGATAGATAGTCGAAGTGGCTTTGGAAATTGCAGAAGCTCCGCCACCAAACCCACCACCTTCTACCAGCTAGCTACTAGGCGGACGGCCACTGGCCGCCAACATACACCCGGTTGGCGCCCCCGAGTAGGGCGCCCGGGTCTCTACCGTCAGGTGGGGGACTCGGTCTGGTCTGGGTAGCCGACAGCGGCCGCTGGGCACGGCCTGAGCCACCCGACCGGCGCTGAGGGGAGGCAGATTGGTCAGCTGGTGAACCAACAGAAGACGCGGTCTGAGGGACCCTGATCCGACCCAACCACCCACCGCCCGTGACGTCCCCCTCCCTGTCCGACCACCGCCCCCGCCCGCCTCCTGACTCCGACCCAGTCACCGCCCGCGCTGACCCGACCTAAACCGTATCGCCATGGACCCAGTCAACCGTGCGACCCGACATCAACTTTACCCGAATCCGTAATTCCAAGTCTCGGTCCTTTGGCTTCCTCAGACCCGAACTTTACCAGACCCCAGCCGATCATCTACCGACCCCTTACACCTCGGCTCAATTTTGAAACCCCCATACCTCGGCTCCAGTATGACCGCCAAAACGACCAGATTCCGTCAGTTCCCAACTGCCCGGACGCGAGGAAACACCCGCTATTCATTTAACATCCCTAACGCCTTTGATGGCACCTCGCAGAAGTGATCACAGATCACCCCAACGTCCCTTTTTGCTATCCCGACGTCCTTCCCCTTTACTACCTCACATCTCCCCACTCGGGACTATCAGTGTTTTGCATCCCGGATGTCTGTTATCTTCAGACTACCGGGCTTCTCAAAAAAGTTGGACGATTTTATAACTAACGTATTGAAGGGTGTATCAATGTAACAAAACATAATTGGGTATCACCTAAAAGCCTCATCAAAGACATTTCGTTTGAGGGGATTTCGATCCTCGGCAGTCGCCTTTCTGAGCCGCGTCGAGGTCATGTTCGAGATGATTCCCTATTTGCTTGATGCACAGTTTAGCCCGGCGCAGCGCGTCCTCTGCTGCAGCACGGCCCACGGAAAGCTGCAGACGGCACACCGCTGACTTCACTGCATCCTTATGATCTTCGGAACTTTTTGGGTGGTTTCGGTACACCTAGAACTTGATGTGGTCCTATAGGAAAAATTCCGGTGGGGTTACGTTCGGAGAATTCGCCGACCACGGGCGTGTCTCGAACCTCGAGATCACGCGCTGCCCGAAGCGCTCCTACAGCCCCTCCCGGTTTTCTTTAGCGGTATTGGCGTGGCACCGTCTTGCTGGAACCATTGGATCTTAAGCGTTTCCGGATCTCTGCTCATCCTGATATTGCAGAACCCTCCAAAACGTCGCCAGAGCCACCCGATATCGCTGACCATTGACAGTCTGAGTAGCGCATCTCTCACACGAGTGGTGTTCGCCGTAAGCCTTTGATTGGGTTTATGGCCGCCGCTGTGTTCCTTGAATTGCGTGAACCTATTGTTACACTTCCTCGAGCCAGAAACTTGTCAATAATGTGGAAAATTTTGTTTCAAGATGTTGCTCTCTTTGCCCTTAAGTGCTTGCGGATCTTCCGTGGTGTCGAGCCGACCGACTTAGTCTGGGAAAGCATAATTTCACGAGTTTTGCTTTTACTTCCTAAGACCACGGCTTCATTTTTTAATTAACCCTCGCACGACCAGGCCATTTCTCATAACACGAAAGACCAGGGGGGGGGGGGTTGTTACGACCCCCCCCCTGGCGTTTCGAAACGGAAGGTCGTAGAGCTTAGCGGAAAAAACCAACGGATTGCTCTCAACGAGATCTCGCGATTGGTGGTATATTTTTTGGTCCTAGGTCAACATTTGACCTACTTTTGACCGGTCAAAGGTCAAATTTTCGGAAAATAGACTTTTTTCAACTTTCGGCGGCGATTGCGGCAAAACGGTGGGAGATATCAACTTGAAACCTTCACTATCGTGTTCCTTGATCAATTCTCTATCGTTTGGTATGTATTTCGTTTCCCTAGCTCTAAAAATGGCGCGTTGGGAGCGCCGGAAGTCGGCAAGGTCACAGTCGGCGGCAGAAATTCGAAAAATCAAAATTTAAATTTTTGAAATTTGATTGTATTTTTGGATTTGGGAGGTCCATTTGCTCCCTATAGAAGCTAATATTGCTGCATATTCCCATTGAGGTGACAACAATTAGCAAAATAGTGGTTCGGGCGCTTTTCAAAAATAGTACCGGACGCTGTTCCTCTTGTGACGTCATAGCTCCGTGACCTGACCTGACCCGGTCAAATTTCTTATACCATATGATAGCCAATACTTGCCCCAACATGCATGGGAAGTTTCATCACGATCCATCAACCGATGTCCGTACCACCGGCAGGAAACCTCGGGCGTTGGCACTCAGTTTGTGAAAATCCGGCCGGAGGCTGTACCTCTTATGACGTCATAACTCCGTGACCTGACATGACCCGATCAATTTTTTTCGGCAAAAGATGCGCAAAGGTTGCCCCAGAGGGTATTGAAAATTTCAGCCCGCTACGACAAGCCGTTTAGCGTGCACTTCGAAAAAACCTCAGGGGGGGGGGGGTTGATACAACCCCCCCCCTAGGCGTTCTAGGGTTAAGCTCAAACCATGGTGTCATATAAATCTACGAAAAATTCTCCGTTTTTCCACGTGCATTGATTTTGCTTAAATGTTATTAGGGGTCCTCTGTTCGCAAAAGAAATCCGTCTAACTTTTTTGAGAAGCCCGGTAGAACCCTTTGCCATTCTTCAATCAAGATGGTTCTTATGGAATGTTCATTTCATCGCACTTAGCAAATCAGCACACGAGTGCTCAACTACGCTTTTCATTGCGAAATATTTCGCTTTTATATCGGAAGACGAAATGATTCAAACATTCCGGAAGACTTTGCATCTTGCGAGAACCTCACACGTCAAAAGCGGGTACAGCCTAACGCGAATTTCGATTCACCTTAACTTAAATAAGCCCAGACACAACGTAGCCTGATTTTCTGAGGTCGTTTTACTGACTCATCCCCAACATCTTTTAAGATCATCCACAATCCCCAACAGCTCGCAGCCTAAAAACAAGCATTTAATTTTTCTTATTCCAACAAATAAAAATGACCAAACACAACCCTAACTTAAACTCTTCAGAAACAAGGAACTCCCAACCTTAACTTTTCTCTTTCCAGTAAATGAAAGCTAGCCTAAATAGCAGTGAGCTAGTCAATTCCCCACCGCTGTGTTTAACTCTGGGCTTACTGGGGCACGTTACGCCGCCTTCGGCTAACCGTGGCCAATGGGCCCGCTAACGCCTCCCTTCTCTCGCGCGCTCTCTCTTCTCGCGATCGCCTGCAAAGAGAGCACAGTGAGCCAACACAGCCGGCGTCGACACAGCGCCGCCCTGACCCCATGCTGGCTGGCGTGCTGCTCCCGCCCCGCCCCGCCTCCCGTCCCACCCACCCCTGCCCGCCCCACCCACCCACTCCCGCATGCACGGTTAGTAGCGTCCGGGGCCGCGGCTGGTCTCTGGTGACTGGGGGGCGGTGTCAGGGGCGGGGGCGGGGCGCGGGCGGTCGCGCGGCGGCGGCGGCCGGGCCGCAGCGACGCGCCGCTCGGCGGCTGCTGTCCGCCGCCAGCCTGCCGGAGGGGCGGCCGGGCGCGAGCAGCCGCCGCCGGCGCCGGCACGCCGCTGCCGCCCGCCCGCCGCCGCCGCCACACTCACGGTACACTCGTTCACACACACACTCACACTGGCTGGGTGGCCGGCGCGCGGAGCTGGGAGGGAGAGTGTGAATGCCGACCTCCGGGGCGGGACGGGCCGGGTTGTGCGGCTGTCCTAGTTCAGTGCTGCCAAACCTGCTCTGACGCACCGAGGGGCGGCGGCGCGCTGGCCGCCGCCGCTGCTCTGAGCTCAACGTCGCACCAGACAGCCGCACGGCACGTCCATTGCCTTAGGTCGCCGCCGAGCCGCCAGCTCGGCCTCTGTCTCTCTGCAAACTGCCTCCTCTCTGCCTCTGCCTCTGTCTGCTCTCGCTCATCTGCTAGCCTCCATCCATCTGTACTCTCGCCTGCCTGAGTACGCGAGCGATGGCGCGGCGCCGGGTGCGGCGAGCGCGCGCCGGCGCCGCGTTACGTTACGTTACTCTGCCCATGACGTGCGTTACGTTATAGACCCTCGGCACTGGACGGCACGACCCGGCCACGGGGGGCGAGGAGGCCGGGCGGACGGGCGCGCCACTCACCGGCACTGTCTGCCACCGAGCCGGCTGCCGAGCAGACGCCAGACGAGCCGGCCGCGCTGGCGGCCGTGTACCAGAACGGCACACCGTCCGACTCGCGGTCACCGGAGCGGACGGTCAGAGAGATGGCGCGCGGCGCAGAGGGTCGGCTGTCCCAGTAGGCGGGCACCTCGCAAACCAGATGAACCTGCAGAAGGGAGGGGATGGGGGTCAGACAGGCGGCGGTCGAGGGGAGTTAACATACCCTCGGTCTGCAAAAGTAGATTCAGAATACGTGTAAACCGCATTGCACATTTTGCTGCTGATAAAACAATCATACCATAGACAGTTTCGTGTCCACCTTTCTCCAGCCGATTGTGTCTCCCGTCTCAGTTCTTCCGCCACCTTTATCAGTCCCCTTACCAGCTCCAGCCTCCTACCTCTGTCCCGTCTCGCTCCTGTCTCCCTCCCAATTTCCCCGTCCCCATCCACTCACCGCTTGCAAATGGTCCTTGTGCGGCGTGACCGTCTGGTGCCAGACAGTGGCGCCGCTGTCGGACGTCTCTGTAAACACCACGCGCGAGTCCTTGACGAAGTTCTTCCCGAGCACGATCAGCTCCTGGCCGCCGACCGGGGAGGCCTCGGTGATGGACAGCTTGGTGACCTCGGGAACACCCTGTGGCTGAGCTGAGGGGAGGGAGGGGAGGTATCAGCGGAGAGCCAGACTTCAGTCAATTCACGAGAAAAGAGCACAATATCCGAGTTATAAATATAACGATGGCTGTATGACGTAGAATGCATGGGTAGAAGTAGATATAGATTATAGTAAATGTTTAGACATCACATCAATTTCTGAACACTCTCGCCCAACCCCACTACACCCCTACCCTGGGCTAACCTACTATGCCCGCCCCTTATCTGTCCTACACTGCAACCAGTACCCCAAGCCCGACTCACTGCAGACGATGGACCGGGAGGCGATCTGTAGCGTCTCGACGCGTCCGTGTCCATTCAGCACCGTCACCCGGAACACGAGCCTGCAGCTGGTGGTTCGCGCTCCCTTCCTGACCGTGGGGCGCCGGCCGCCGGCGGCCACCGCGTTTGCCGCCGCCGCGCCGCCGGCCGCCGCCACACGCGACTCGATGTCGACGTTACGCTGCTTCAGGATACCAAGACAGTCGCAGCTGAGGGTGGAGAAGGGGAGGACGTCAGATTGTAACACGGATACGGGAAAGAAAGAAGATAACAGAATGAAACAGCGCACAAGACCCGCTCGGAGTTTGGTAAGTTAACACTAGCGCCCTTAAAACAAGCTTCAAGCCTTCAATAAGCGGAAGTTTCTGACCAAGTGGCATGAAAATGAGATGAGATCAGCATCATTTAAAGTTAAACACATTTTGATTCAGGCAAACTAAGAACCTTTACATATTTTACACAAAGGTTTCCAAACCTCCAACTTTCAGAATACCACCCGTTACAACACCACATCTCCATCACCAGCCCCTCAACCTCCCCGTCCTCCTCCGTCCGGTTTCTCACCGCGCACTGACGCTGTCGCCTCCCTTATCTGGCGTCATCGTGGTCTGGATCACCACGGTGCCACTGAGGTTCAGCTCGTCACTGGGACTGGCCGTTTTACCGGTGACCCGACACGACTGGTAGAAGAGGTGCGGGCTGCAGCCGTCGGCGTCCGAGCCCACATACATCTGCAGCGCCACCGGCTGAGTGTAGCCGTGCAACTGTCGGAACGAGACAGACAGACAGACAGCGTCAAATGAGGCCAGAAACGAGTTACACAACAGAGCAGATATGAGGACAAGCTCACATAAGAGGACGGGCATGGGTCAGACATGGGTTAGAGAAGACATGATGAGACTATTGAAGGTAAGGCGAGAGATATAGGCAGATAGGCACAAGACCACTCACTGCAGCTTCATGTCCTTTATGCTACGGATGCTGCCCTCGTGGTGAGCACGGCAGTAGATATGGTTCAGGCGTGGTTCAAACATGGGTCGGAGATAGGGGTAGACGCGTGGTTTGACACGGCGCAAAAGCGGTATCAGAGGCGAGTACGACGCAGATATAGCACGAACTGTGACGCATCAAACTCAGGTCAGAGGTGACGGGTCATGAAGTGTAAGATCAAACGGCCGCATGATCTCAGGTCTGAATGTTGCAACACGTTCATGATCCATTACATGATCAAAGAATTTTGAGAACGCCCACTCAGTTAGCTGACGGATACCACGGCGCTTTGGTGTACCTGACAGGTCAAAGGTTGACAGTGCAAGTGCTGGGGTCAAAGGGTGAATGGAGAATACCAACTCTACCTATGTACTGAGAGACCTATCAATCCTCAACGACTATGCTTCAACACTTATCCATTGTACCATCTGCATTCAAACGCTTAGCATAATGAACATCATAAGCATCATATCCTTAAAAACAGCCCACGGGACAGAACACAGCCTCTGCGAATGTGACCAACTGTGCCATGATTGAGGTCCGGTAAGGTCACAAGTGGCTGTCGTCAGAAAGAGAAAGGCAAAAAATCCACTCAGTCCATAATGTCTCCCATTACTGTGATCTGCATGGCGACATGATCACATATGTGCCTGAAGGTCGGCATGGTCGCGATATGTGGCACCGGCGCCGGCGTCAGATTAAGGTCCCACCCTACCACTGACACGGGGAGAACACATTCCACGAACACCCCCCTCCCTCCCGGTGTCACGACCCGTGGGCAATCGGCCGAGACGGTGATATCACGGTCACCACAGCGCCAAATCGTACTGCAGCAGGGAATGTGAACACCTGGCCTCTGGAAACGTCCAACTCTAAGACGACCGTTACACACCGCCAAATACAAGAGATCTGCCCGATTGTTCAGCTACAGGCAGCTGAGCGCCTGGCGGCCAAGCAGCATTTTTTCTTCGAGCAAGCCGGCAACCTTTTGCCTCACTCATGACTCAACAGGGTGATGTTCAGAACCGCTGCTGTGATCGTGAAGCCCACTTGAGAGCAGTTACTGCATTTGACAGCGGGGACGATTCAGATGTAAATTTATGAAGGTGACAATTCGCCAGTCGGTCTGTTCCGATACTGGGGCCATTGCACACCGGCCTTCAGACAAAAGAAGATCGTGACCAGCGAATGAAATCAGCTCAGTATGCAACACAACGAGGCCATTTGCAAGACATTTGCAAAACTGTCCACAAGGCAGCCCGCAGCCGTAACGTTTGCATAATGCTGAATCTACCACCTACAAGTCTCCTCCACCACACAGATATGATACCCAAGACTATGTAAGAGTGGTTGGCTAAAATTTCATCCAATACCCCTAGAGAGGTAGCTCAGGTTGGGATTTTCAATAGAAAATCACAATTCTAAAGAATAGTGATTGTCTAATTGAAAAGTCCCAACCTTCGGATATACATGATAAGTGATCACCTTAACTTCCGCCGCATTTAGAACAGGACTCCTAAACTAGCCTGAACTGACTCGGGTTGGCCCGCGTGCCGGGGGTCACCGTCTGTGACACGCTGCGGTCGACGCGGCCCACCAGTGACACTTGGTGGTCTGCCAGCTACCTCAGAATGACGGTCAGAGCCACTTCTGTGGTTGCCGCGGTCAGTCTACGTGACCCGACCCGCGACCTGTCACACCTGACACCCTATGCTGTCTCAGTGACAGTCGGCGCTGCCTCCGCGGCCGAGGGTACCGCTGGATTACGTGACCTGACCCGTGACCAATCACAATGGACATCTGGTGGCCCGATTGTGGTAGGGAGGAACTGACGGGGTGACCACAAAGCCAGCAGGTCAGGCCGGGGCGGCATAGTGCAGCCTTTGTCCTTACCAGATCGAATGGATGATCGGACCTAGAGAGCTCACCTAGGCCTAAATCACAACAGGTGTCTGAGATAGACCAGAGACGAAGCCATGGGACACTAGTGAAGTAACTTTGCTATTATCTCTGTGTAGCTGATGGCGGGAGGAGCACTTACCACGACCTGCGGCGACGTTTTGCCGGTGGAGTCTTTGACGGCTCCGCGGCTGCCCTCGGTCTGGTACCGGGCCCGGTGACGCGTCTCCGGCTCGCGGGCCAGCGACAGACGGTACCTGACGGGCGGAGAGGGGTCGGTTATAGGGGGTCATCAGGGGTCACACAGGGTCATAACGGGGTCATACAGGGCCAAAGAAACAAGAAAAGGCCAGTTTACTGGGACGAGCATTGCGCACAGAGAAATTAAGCACAAGGATGAGAAAATACACTTCATGAGACGGCACATCTACCGGAGATCATAGAAGTCCAGGATCGACGCAAGGGACAAGCGTTCACAAAGGAAAGTAGCGTTCCAATCCGCCCCACACAAGGTCTCGTCCAAGGCCAGATTTAAGATTATACAATACATGACGCAAAGTGGCGCCTGATCTTGATTGTGTGCGAAATCAGGTGCACAATAGCCGAACTGCGGCGGCGTAAAGAAAGGTCGCGCAGGGCTGACATTCGCGCGGCTTCCTCAAAACCGTCTCCCACGGACAGGGTGGGTCCGGTGTCGCTGCCCTGTCCGCGTGTCACCCCACGGAGCAGGGGGTCCGGTGCAGGTGCCCCGTGCACGTGGCGCCCACGGGCCGAACCGGCAGACGGCCGGTGGCCGCCGCTGGCGACATGGGACGCCTGAGATACAGCCCAGCTGATACGCCACAAACCGCCCCGTCATCTCTGTACGACGGGAACAAATGGCAAAACTAGCGTCCGCACACAGCAACAGAGGCTCTCCGAGTAGCAGATATCTGGGTCAGACGAACTAACAGGACACATACAACGGCGCTACGTATAAATACAATCCATACATAGTCTGGTATGGATGACCTCGGCATCCTAAACTGGTCATACCTCCCGCCTTATCCGCTTTTTTCACCGCCCATCCGTCCGTCTGTCCGTCGGTCCATCCGCCCGACCCCACGAGTGCGGGTGTCCGCGGCGGAACCGATAGCACCGTTCAGTGTCCGTCCTCACGGTGGGTGGACTTTGGTCGCCGGTGGCGTGGCCCGGGCCGGAGTGCGGTGACGCATCTGGCTCGGCAACAGGGAGCGCCGGCCCCACCCACCGAGCCGGCCGGGGGTGGAGTGCAGGTGTCTCCGGCCCGGGGGGGGGGGGGGGTATCGGGTCCCAGCCCGGCCAGAGGAATGAGATGGCCGAAGGACGACAGTTGATGGACAGCGGCGCACGGCCGGATGGGGCAGCGAGAAAACAGCGACCTCGGGATCATGAATGAACTAATAGCCGAGAAGACAATGTACCATGGCACCTGCCAGATGAGATGAGGTGCACTGATAAAATCGCATTTTACGGGAATGTTCAGTTATTGCAATGCTCACTGCACAGTGAACAATGAACATATTAGGCGCTATATCTAGAAAATTGTGCTATTTTAAATTCAATTTCTGATGAAACGGATGTGTACTTGCTATGAAATTGAAAATTCCTCCAAACAGACTGTGATTGACATGAAGTATTTTAGGTGGACTGGGATGGCTATTTTGCTGCCAAGTAAAATATTGCACCAGGTCCGGCGCAATAAATCAACACGGACCGAAAATAGTGCTAACAGACTTCAGGTATTTCAGAAAGAACGCAGATCGGTTCGAATTAGTCAGAACATGAGATGTACGGTCCAGCTGCCGGCGTTTGTCGCTAGGACTAACAGCAGAGGAGTAACACACGACTCAACTATGTAGTGCGGCTCAGTGAATAGCTACTACGTAAAACGGATGACCTCATGAGGTGGGCGTAGCTATAGGTAAACCAGGCAAGGCAAACAAACAAACTATGAACTAAAATGCTGGAAAGCCTGCTGAGGGTTGAGTCAAAAAACGGCTAGATCATTGCGCGCATTATTTAGTTAGAGGGTCGTTGACACAGCAAAAGTTCTTGGGACGCGAGGAGACGTAACATGTGGTGAATTAGAAACATAAACTATTGCTTCGAGACATGGCTAGCGTGACCTTATTTCGGCTACCCAGCGCTAATCATTATCAAGCTGAACATCTAATCACAGACGGCGCGGTATTTTCCTGTTTGTGTTATAGCTCCTATCGTGACCTCGCCTGCTCATTGCCTATCCACCTAACGGTAAGCTGTCGACCTGTGGGTCTCTCCATCTCTTCAACGCTGCAATTCACACATCTATTATGTCATGCCCACTACTACCAAAGGTCACTGAGTCCTGTCATTCAGACCTGTCACCCAGACCTGTCACCACTGAGAGCCTGTCACCTAGTCCGTCACTCCCGGTGCTGAGAGCACTCAGCGAGTGACGCCGAGTGCACCCAGTGGGAACTCCGACCCCGGCCTCCGCCCGGCGAACACTCCGCTCCGGTACATAGCAATCAAACTAATCAGACGGGAGGCAAACAGCCGGGTGGTCCGCCCCCTGCCAGGCTGCAGCAGGGCTGGGAGCGGTGCCGGCCCCCGTGGGACCCCCGCAAAGACGGTCTGCAAAGTCCGGCGCCCCCCGGGGGCCATAGTCCATAGTCCATACTACGGGAATGGTCTTGTCTATTGGGGTGGGAGACATTTGACAACGGACCTTTCTCTTCCGTTGATCTGCCCAGGGCAGCAAAAGTAACTGATGCAGATCTAAAGGCTTCAGTTGTAAGGGCAGGCAATTCATGATTATTGGCTTCTTTCAATGTTTCTGCGTTTTAAAGCGACAATTACGTGGCAAAATAGAAAACAATATGACGTAATGCTTTTAGTAGCATTTATGCTCCTTTTGATACCATATAAAATACCTACTTTTTACGATAAAGTACATTTCCAAAAGAAATTGCGTCAGTTGGTACAAAATGTATTAATAATACCACTAACTTCTCAGATGACAATAGGCAGTTATAGCTATAAAAAAATATTGCGTTAATCACTGCCCTGTTCCACTCCTCCCAGGCAGTGCGCCGAGTCCATCGTCAGACTACGGGGAAATCAGGACCCGGAAGGAGCCGACTCCCTCCGGAAGAGGTTCCCTCGGCTGTGCGCCACTCCGGCCGATCGATAGCACCTCGCACCGACCGCCGAGCGGCCGAGCGCCACCGGCAGTCGCAGCGGCCACCGACGAGGTCACATCGGACACCGGCCGTCGGCACAGACGACGACGATAAGGACGGACCGGCAGCGACAGCACCAACGGACCAGCAGCGTCGAAAACGACGGACCAGCACTCAGCAGGGACCAAGGGCGAAAACAACTGAGCGATCGACGGACCGCGACGTTAACACCCAGGGCTTCAACATCGTCACATGCCGTTCTGGTGTAGGTGGTGGGTGGGACTATGACGAGGAAAGATTATATCCCCACTGAATTAATTGCCATTAAAATGGATATTAGGTGGATCTCAAACACGACTAGCGTGCGTCGCTGGAGGTCCTTAATGGCCTACCGTCGTGCGTCACGACAAACACTGCTTCATTAGTGCGGTACAACCGTCTAAAGCTCCGAACGACCTGTCTACTGCGCTGTGGCTGTAACGTCGTCCAACAGCCTGTGCATTTTCTGGGGCCGGCGTGGACACGCCAGTCTGCAGCTGCCGCGCCCAGAGCCGATCCCAATCAGCGTTTGGAAAAGGCCAAGACGTTGTAAAGGGAGCGGGAGCAGTGATGGCCGCACCCTGATACGGGTGAACGAAGCCGGCGCGACCGGTATAACATTTCCTAGAGAATGAACGAGTGTCCGTACCAGAGAAGGTCTAGATTCAGAAAACCCTCTCCATGACAGAAGAGGCTCATGACTAGCAAGCTAGTAAGAGAACCACTCGCATTAACGGCGACCGAGCACCCAGCCAATATTGCACCTGTTCTGTTCTCAGCAGCGCTAACAGGATCAATGCGGCTGCCAATACACAGACTATATGGGGCGACACGACGAGGGCAGCAGACACGAGGTCAATACCGAGGCGGGCCGACGGGGCCGAAAACTACAGCCGAGATGACAAGATGCTTCATTTTAGCAGGTCCATTTTGAAGCGCCTCTGAGCGCACGTTCCAAGTCATTACTATCTTGTGAGAGGATTCAATACCAACAACACCAGAGTTCAGCGAATAGCGAAATAGCGAAATAGTGAATAACGCAGAAATGTTCTTCGATCCCTTGCTCGGCGTGTTTGAATAGCAATCCTTTGGATCGAGTATTGACATAGTTTGGACCATGACGATTGGGTTGACTGAGTCATCGCTGAGGACTTATCAATAGTGCAGCCTTGCAACCCAAATGCAGCAGTTATTCTTGAAGTTACAGGGCACTACAGCACGTAAAACGATGGCGAGTTGAAAGCATACCTCATAAGCCGAGAATGCATACATGCTGCAACCGTAATTCCTTTGGGCTCTTTCTGTTCTCTTCGACAAGTATCCAATTGGAGCAGCCTGCTCATGTTCATTCTCTTCAAGAAATCTTGCCTCCTGCATTCCGAAATTCATCTACTTCCAACTATCTTCCCTATCACAGCCCTGGCTCCTTAGTGTCACCAGCGACATTTCCAGCTCTCCGTGTCTCCGTGCGATCGCCCCGCCGTGCGTCCCGTGAACCATATCGCGTGACCGGCCAGCCGAGGTTGACACCGCGGGGACACGGGCCACCCAAACACACAGCAAACCAATCATCTCAGCTGAGGTCGGAGATGGCCGGTGGCGTGGCCGGCGGCTGCGGGCCGGTCCCTGCCGGGTCGGTCAGAGCACGGTGAGGTGAACCCGGAGCCCGCTGCCCAGCGCGCGGTACACCCCGCTCTGCACGGCGTGCCACGCTCACTGCACGCCGACCTTCGCCGTTCTCAGGGGCGCCGGTGCACGTATAAAGCCGGAGGTGGCCGGCGAGTGGCACCAATCGGCTCTTCAGCTCCCTCCCGGCGGACCCGTGGCAGTCACAGCGGCACACCACACAGCAGACATGAAGGTGAGAAAAGTGGCTACGGAGTTCTGAGCATCGTTCTCTGCAAACTTCTAATGGTCACTGAAACATTAATTTACTATTACTTAGGTATACCAGAATAGGTAAGCTAGCTTACATTGCTTTAAAGGGAATTTCGAAAAGAGCGTTGGCTCTAGGACAATTGTCATAAGTAATAAAATGTATTATGGATAATCCTCGATCTAGAGCGGCGAGGTCCAGATAATCAGTAATCCACCTGTTTGATTTTAAAATATTTACTTTACTATGTAAAAACACTTTGTTGGAAAGAATGCCAAAACAATCATCACAGGCAGAATTTGCATATCGCAGTTGGCCAAAACATTCTTCAGAAAAGGTTCAAACATTTAGCACTCACAGGACCACTTTCGCCTCACGTTGCGCTCCCCTTTTCTGCCACTACCGGCCTAACCTCTCCGTCACTCGCATGTTTCAGGTCGTCATCCTCGCAGCTCTGATCGCGGCGGCCGCCGCCAGCGGCTACGGCACCCAAGGTTCGGCCGGCTACGGCTCGGGCGGCTACAACACGCCGACGGCGTACCAGTTCGACTACTCCGTCAACGACCCGCACTACGGGCCGCAGTTCTCCCGCAGCGAGAGCAACGACGGCCGCACCGCGCGCGGATCGTACAGCGTGGCGCTGCCCGACGGGCGCGTCCAGCACGTGCGCTACTACGCCGACCAGGAGGGCTACGGCGGCTTCAACGCCGAGGTCACCTACACGGGCGGCTACGGCACGCAGAGCGGGTACGGCGCGCAGGGCGGGCAGTCCTACCACTGAACGAGACAACTCGGGAGGACAGACAACAGACCGAGACCGCCCTGATGCAAACAAATGAATCTCACAGCCAAAGACTGCCACGATCCAGACAGAAGGATCTCGCAAGCATTTAGACTGCATGTCCCAGAGGGACATATCTTGAATAACCAAGACTAACTGCTGCTGGAGGAAAAAAATCGACATAGCCGCGTCTGTAAGTCCTACCCGACGCGACTTGACCTGACCTACGATATCTGGCTGAATGTCCTTAAAACTCCAAGACAGCCGTCCTACCACACAACAATCCGTCCTTCCCCGCCAAAGCGAGAGATACCGGTGTACACATTGTCTATTTATGGGAGAGTGAATACACAGACCCACCGAAGGGACCGCTGGTATTGAGTATTGACGGGAAGAGACAGGTGCGCTACGGTGAACACGATTTGTGGACATGATAAGAACATGGGCGTGACCGACAGGAAACTGATGGTCTACTAGGACTGTAACCTAGGCGTACACAGGCGGTTGGCAACAGTCCGCGCCGTTATATAATGATAAAAACGCTAATGGACAGGTGCTCTAGCACAACGTCTGTCCAGACAGCAACAGCATCCACATAAATACGTCAGCGACAGAACAACTGGACGCTACACCTGCGCGGTGAATTAACGATTAGTAATTAAATTATGAAACTAAACACAGCAAAGGCCCAAGAAATGACGCATTTCAGCTCATGTTTCAAATGAAGATGAATCACAAAAAGATGTTATATTTTACGGAGGGGTAAATCCACACTAATGGTGTTATTTATGAAGGTAATGCCACCAGCACCAACTTACTTGCCACACTTGGAGACGGGGTTGACGCCCTTGAGAAAACCTGCAGGGGGCTGAGCGGCCGACCTGCAGAACGGACGGGGAATACGTCAAACGGGGCCACATTTACACCAAAGGTCGCAGGTCACAGCCTGCCAAATCACACCTCATCCAGACGAACAGCGCCCACTGAGTTACATAAGACACAAATGGTCACAATATTTCCCCCATCTGACTCCTGCGACTGCAATATTAGCGGTTTTAGTAACGTTTATCTGCAGCTGAGCCGCGGTTCACACAAAATACCAGTCAAAGTTCCAGCGCGCGGGACAGCGGGTTTATCGATAAACACAAGACGGAACTCACTTTCACCGTACTTCTGAAAATGTCACCAGATGTAGGATTTGCTAAATACCACAGAGCAACGCCCACCAAAACAATTCCATTGTAATAACGGATTCTGAGGATAATAACTAAAGGTCAGGTAATCAATCATATAGACCGGTCATATCATAGACCCGTGTTATGTCAACCGATCTCGTATCCTCCTGACCTTCACATAGAATTACTGAATTTGGTGGGTCCGACTACAGATCAACGTCCCAGCTGTTACCCGGCCGGGCCTCTCGCGATTTCTGGCACCGCCCTCCTAAGGTCACCCTCAGACCTTTCTCACGTGGCCCGCGTAGTGTCCCGCCCAGACCGTGCCAGATCGGCGGTATTTCGCCGGGGGGGGGGGGGGCAGGGGGACGGGCTCTGACGTCACAAGTTGGCAGCGCTGGTAAATGAGTGACGATATCGGCCGCGACTGCTGCCGTCAGCAACACTAGGATGATATATGGAGGTGGACAAAAGGGCCGTGGGGACGGTGCATTCAGGGGAGATGGATATGGCGTATCAGAGAGCTGACTTTGGTGGATTGCAAACGACATCACACGAATCTTACCATGAAAATAACGAATGATAGCAAATACGCAGTTTGTCTTGTGAAACATTTCAAACCAAACCAGAAAATGTCAGCTTTCAATGATTACGTCAATTACTGAAGCAAATAGCATAGATTCAAATGCATTGATAAATGATGTTGACACGTTTGAACATCGTAGTCTCGAAAATGAAACACGAACGATTGAATTCGACCATCATTATCGCCCATGACATCATAAATGTATGACTTTCCACATCCAAGTGATGCTAGATGGACTTCTGTAGCTAAATGTGGAAACGGCGTAAAAGCATAATTGCTCTAAGCCGCATCCGCTCGATATCCGGACTCTGGGGTCACGCTACAAAGGTCAGAACGATATCAAAATAGTCCACTAAGTCCGAACCGTTATTGCAATCAACGGACCTGTATCGCGTTGAAACATACAATTAGTCATGATGTACGGTGAATTAGATGATTTACCAGAGCGATTATGCAGATTACATTATGTACTTTGCAGAGCGATGACCCAGGGAAGGGTCACATCATGAAATGAGAATAAGAATGCGAAACACGAAATAGGAATCGCGATGAAAAATTGTGCAAACCTGAATGCCATTTTCTTACTCAGAAATTTCCGTTAATCTAAGGAAAGACTACGCTCGCTTCGCTCGCTCCGTAAAAACGACTGCAAAATTTACTGACGCATACCATATCCAACATTCAAAGCTACTATTGTCGCAAACTCAAAACTTATGCGTTCGACAGATTTCATCCATGAAAAAAAAAAATAATCCACGATACCTTCTACCCATTGCGTTTCGCCGCCGGTTCTCCCGTTTCACTACCGCCACCAGTCATTCCTAGAGTCCTGGCTGGCTGTCACTCGACAGAAACACACAGCCTGCCCTGTGCCACTCCACGACCCGGCGCCGTCCTCCGCCGCCGCGTCACAGCGTCAGTCGTTATGTCACTGTGATAACACAGCCAGTCGTCGAGCCGGCAGCTCCTTGATGACGAGTGCAACAGACAGACAGCAGGGGACGGACCGGGCCGGGCCGGCAGGGGGTCGGTTTGTCCCCACCACGCGCTGATAAACTATATCGCACGCTATCAGATGGTGACGTGTGATAGGACCGTGAGGTATTGAAGTTGGAGTTTGGACGCAGTATCAGTTGCTAGAGTGGTCAGATATTGCACGGCGCATATTGCAGTTCTCCGCCCGGGAGTTGCACAGCGCCGCCGCTGGATGGCGCTGCGGTCGCGGCTGCCGCTCGCTGCCGATAGATGTCACTAGCTGCACCTCAGTGTGAACCCGTTCGTGCGCCCCCGGATGAGCCCCTGAGTGGTGACCAACTTACGCTGAGCGGGCGTCCCGGACGAAGCACGAGTCTCGGGCGGCGGCATCCTCCCTCTTGGTTACCTTCCGTACCTGAGAAAGATAAAAGAGGTCGAGTCACGGTATGCGAGGTCAAATCAGATGGCGTAAATCACATCGAAACAGATACGACACCACCCTGCCAAGACTGAGTTCTCCGGACAACCTCACACCTACAAATAGCAGTCAAATACGCCTCACCCATCCCAATCCCTCAAACATGTTCGGAACAGCGGCCGACCTTACACACCGAGAGACGACTGTTTTAGACCGACGTACGACAGTGTGACATCACAGGGCGGTAACACAGACGAGACACCCGGCCACCGACCGGCGGGCCTCTGGCGCCCCTGTTGTCCTTGGCGGCCGTCCATCCCGACAGCGAGAGAGGGGGACCCGCCGACAGCTGCACCTGAACTCACTAACCGACACCAACGGCCAAATTCGTTCCTCCGGTGTCTTCCGCGGCAGGAAAGGTCAGTTCCTATTGACTATATACAAGAAGACCATCGCTCATGGGACAGGAAGAACAAAACAAGTACCGATTACAGCAAAAACGCTGACTGAAAACCCTGTGTGGGTGGTGCCAGCTCATTACAAATCAGTAATCACCATCTCATTCTTCAACTGTATCCAGAAGCTCCAAGCTCCTCACAAAGTTCGCCATTGGCATGCCTGGAGGCGTATCCCCAACTAACCCCGAAGAAGGGCCACATCTAAACACCCCGAGAGTTGCTGACGTCAGTCCAACAGAGCCGAAATAGCGCCCGAAATGGAACACCTCTGACGTCAAGGGGCCAGACGGACCCCGAGGGTGAAACAGGGGATGGAGGGAAAGGGGGGAGAGGGGAGGGCGGGAGAGGGGATGGAGAGCGGGAGGAAGAGAGAGGTAGGGAGGGAGATGTGTGGTAGGAGAGGGAAGGGAGGGATAAATTCAAATGGTGGGAGGAAGGGAGAAAACCATTGGCTCCATTTTATGTTTCGCCATTCAAAACTGCGCACCTCAACGCGGGGTTTGAAGTCTATCTGGTGTCGCTCTTCACTTCTATGCATTCCCATGGAGGCGTCATCCACATCAAGGTGCTATCGACTCGCAGTGCACATCTAATAATGTGCAAATTATTGCCAAATGTATCTACTGTTAACGCCAGACCCCTTGAGACCCTAATTTTTCGCGATTACTTTTAAATGCGTGAAGGAATTTCAACCAAGCTCAGGACATGGCCGTTTCAAGACAGGCCGAAACTTTTACAATTTAGATATTTTATCGCCATTTCAATATTTCAGGCACTTGTCATTGACTCGTAATGTTAACTGTTTTTCCATCCTGGATAGAGGCTTTCTACGTCCTATGACATTAGGCTCCGCCCACGACTGCGGCATTGACCCGTGCCCATCAGCGACCTCTGTACAAACGACACCCCTGCCATCTGTGAAGGACTATGAATTTCGCTGACGCTTCACGTGCTATGAGTCAATTGCAGCAGACGGTCAAGTAAATGTTAGGCTCTTGTTGACTCTTGTATATAGGACCAAGAGGACCATCACTCCTCAACCTACTACTCAGTCGTGCTTCGAACAAACGTTAACGATTCCTAACAAATACGATTTTCGATGTAGGGTATCTGTTTGAAATACGAGCGAGCCGTATGATGTGAAGCTCAGGCAATTAACTTATTATTGCGTTGTTCGATGATTGCATAGCGATGTACAAATCGGCAGCTACTTGGTGACATCCGACATCCCATTATCGCATTATCTGCAACGCCATAGGCTTTAACCCTATTCCTGGCGGGGGGGGGCCTCAGGAGCCCCCCTGAGGTTTTTTGGTTATTTCTCCCAAACGCGTTGAGCTAGGAAGCTCAAATTTTCGACTTTTCCTATAAGGCTTCTACGCAACATGTCTGAAAATTTTGAGTTGATCTGACCTCAGGTCAGGTCACCAGAGGCGGTTTGGTGACCCTACCTCAGAAAAGTTTGCAATCACGCCAGAGCTAGAGTTTTCGACCGATCAATTTCTTCTCTTCAGGCTTTAGTTAGGGTACCAGTATGTGCAATTTGTATATCTCGGAATTTTGATATCGGTGACCTAAGGTCAGGTCAGTTTCGCGACCTCCCCATTATATCTCAATGGGGGAAAAATCAACTCCCTGTTTTTACCACTAAAACGGGTCGGAATGGCCCCATATACCATACATGACTTCATATACGATCAACCTTCACTACCTTGAGGTCTGTTTTGCTGTTGGGCAGCTGTGAGGTCATGTGACGTCATCAAAGGTCACCAAAGGTTTTTGGCCAATAACTCCGTACAGGAACAAGATACAGACGCGTGGATGGTCTCATTGTGTTCAGCTCGTCAAGACGCATCGAATGATATACATGATGACCTCGAGGTCACGTGACCTGAGGTCAACCTTTGACCTTGACCTTTCGAGGTCAACATATATATCATTCGACGCGGATTGACGAGAGGATCACGATGATGCCCTTAGTTTGTTCCTATCTTGACTAATTCGAAAGTTATTCGAGAAAAACTCTCCATATCTAGCGCCGCCATTTTGACTTTTTCGACCCCTGTGACGTCATCTTTGACCTGACCTGAAAATGACCTTAGTAAAAATTGTAGACCTTGTCCATGCGTATCCGATGCCGTTTACCGCTTGTCGCTATCTTGCTTCGTTCTCGAGATCTCAGGGGGGGGGCCGAATCGGCCCCCCCGCTAGTTTCTTGTCCCGGCGGAGCCCGCCAGGAATAGGGTTAAATACAGGTGAATATTTCCTAACCTTATGTCAGTTATATGCCATCTGCCCGTCATTTGCAGCTTATAAAAAAATATATATCAGCGAACATGAGTGGTGGATGCGCATTGAGTGGTGGATGCTCAATGCACATTGTAGAAGCAATGCGCAATGAGCATTTATGACTCCTTAGTCATCATGTCGCTCTCTGGGCACTGTCAGCCAAGACGCTACGCACAACTCCGCCGGCTTTCGGCACCGCTCGCCCGTCGCCCGTCCCCGCTCCCCGCCACAGCGAGAGTGACCGCGCGCCGGCCCGAAACCGCCGCAGGCCAAGACCACAGAGGCGGGGCTTAGCTGTGACGTCATAACGTATCACAGACTGACTGGTGATAGCCTCTACACACCGGATGAAAATCTTGCTCGAAATTTAACATTACGAGTCAATGACAAGTGCCTGAAATATTGAAATGGCGATAAAATATCTAAATTGTAAAAGTTTCGGCCTGTCTTGAAACGGCCATGTCCTGAGCTTGGTTGAAATTCCTTCACGCATTTAAAAGTAATCGCGAAAAATTAGGGTCTCAAGGGGTCTGGCGTTAACAGTAAATCTACTATCTAGCTTCATCAACTATCCACAACATGAAGACAACTGTGGGATGAAAACATGTTTGTGAAGACATCCAAATGGCGAAGTAAGAGAAACGCTATGAATAACTGAGTTTGATGTATGATGTTGCTTGGCCAAAGCACGGGACCAAAGTCTCTCCAAGCTGCACAAAAGCTGCAAAGGCCATACCATGAGGGAACCAAAATACATTGGCATCCTGCGCTCGGATGCGTGGGCTCCGTTCAATTGCCGCACTGTTTGCTGCCGTAACTCAGCCGATGATAACAGATGGCAAACCTGTCCGCGTCCCACATACGGCCGCATCCGGCCATGTACGACAATGCGGCACTCGGCAAAATGAAATGCCGTTTGGCCGGTTTATAGTTAAGTTAAATAAATCCTAAATCATGCTTTCTATAGGGGCATGCGTCACGCTAAACTGCGCTGCAGACAATGGGTTATATAATTATAATCCGGAGGAAAGATGGGATGTGGAGCATCAAAGCAGCACGGACTGCGGCCATTATCGCGCAGTCGGGCGTTAATGGCGCCAGCAATAACACCAGAGCCTTTGTCAGAAAAGCCGGGAGCAGCACTCCAGCGCAGGTGCCCAGCGATCACGTGTCAGCGAGTCGGGCCGGATCGTCATGGCACGCGCTGGCGGACGCAGGAGCGCACCGACAATATCAAAATAATACGCACGGACAGGCCTCTTTTGACGCTCCGAGATTTCACTGATGGCAGTGCGTGGTGAAATGGAGAAAAAAATCACCGCCTTCACCTGCAGCTGAATACCGTTCCAGCGGGGAGGGAGGGAGCGAACAGATATTGATAGTGGCACATATGACACCGACTCGGTGCGTGTCCCGGTAAAAGGGAGGACTGTTAGCTCAAGTGGTCCCTCAGCCACACGGGCCGCGACCGTCAGCTGCCAGATCTGACCGTGATTGGACACAGCTATGGCGAGTAACGATCGGCTTACGGGGAACTGTCAGAACTGAACAGTCATCCCAGCACACCCTGCTCACGCCCTCCAACCCCGCCCACTGCCATCGGAACCTGTCCGCCGGCCGCCGGCGGCCCACACCTCCCCGCCCGGCCTCCGCCGAGCCCCCGACCACACCACCTGGTGACGTCACAGTGACGTCACTGGCCACCGGCGGCCGGTCGAGAAGCCGACCTCGTATCGACCCGACCGGCGCGGCGGCCGCGTCCCAGCGCGCCGCCTACGCCGCAGCCGACGTGGCCACGTCAGACACCGAATCAACGACAACAACCCCTACACCTCAACGTCGACGACGACAAGACGACCAAGTCGACGACGGCACTGACCTTACTGAGCAAGATAGGTTGATCGGCTTTACCCCGTCCGCTGCTACGAAGCCCAGAAAGACTCTGATGTGCAGTGTGGGTCTGTCAGATTTACGAGGCGAAGAGACGAAGGCTGGTAGTGCGCAGCAGTGCCGGTCGCCACAAACATTGGCCAGGCTATACGAAGGCCGGTTCTAAGCCAGCGAATCGAGCCGCGTACGGCGATAGTTGTGCTGGGGAGTGATGGAATGGCTGCTCCGCACCAGTGATGCTCCGGGAGAAAGGAGAGACGGACACCGGTGCACTATGGTTGGAAACGGCCTCACGGATGGCCGGGGGTCAACACGAAAAAATGTTTTGCCCATAACTTCTTAATGCGTAGACCGACTGCG